TTTTATATATTCGGTGGATGATGTGTCTGTCGGTGACCCTTCTTTCGGTGACTTGTCGTATCGGCGAGTTTTAGTAGTGATTTTGATAAATTTGCATTTTTCAATATATTGAGGCTTGATTTCAGCATGACAATCTGTTGACATTTTTCGTGATCACGAACTTCCTATGTTCAAAACTTTGATCAACACAAACAAATGACAAAGCAGCCTTTGTCTCAGGTTACAAGTTTTGGAAAAAAATGATTTTCCTTTGTATCACTCACTAGTGACTCAATGTACATTATGTCCAGTATGAAACTTTTACAATGTACGCATCAACATCATCATTCATGTCACATGTGTCAGTGATCATTGTTTTTTGTTTATGACTTTGATGATGGTTCACGCGACGGGAAAGTCGTTTCAAGAAAATATCCATGTTAGAAATTGAACTACCTACCCAAGAATTAGTGCTGCTGCGCATTATTTTATGGAAAACATAACACTGATTTTTTGTTGTTGTTCAGAACCAGCAACCGGAAATTGATTTTATTTTCTTTGACAAAGAACTTGATCCCGATCATTATTCCAGTTGTGGATTATGCAATGATAATACATTACTCTTTCAGTTTTAATTTATATATAATTTTCAAATTTATGATTTTTTATTGAATTCTAGCCATGTTCTTAAAAAGTGATATTTTCGTCCATGAACTCAGAAAAAAGAGCTTCATATGGATTCAGAAAGAAGCAGTTATTGAGTAGGTACATAAGCAACCCCCTCCCCTCAATCCTGATGGATATCTACAGAGCATTAAAAAAAGGACTGTCTAAAATTTGTAGGTAATAAAATTTTAAAAAAAATGAAGCAATTTCGGTGACGTTATGTGTTTGCCATCCTTTCGGTATTAATATTTATTTCGTTTAAGATTTTAAGATTTTCACTTTTTGCATTGCTAATTAACCGACTTAGCATTACCATTTTAAAAGCTTGAAACTGATATAGACACTTTATACAAGGACGTAGCAACAGGGGGGCCTGCCCCCCCCCCCCCTTTTTTCCCCAACATTATCTTTACTATAGAAAAGGTTAATTGAAAGGATGGTTCCCCCCCTTTTTACCACAGTATAGCGATATCAAGGAAATGTAGCAAAAAATTGGAAGTGAAAGGAAGTTTGCCTAAAAAAAAGTTGGTAATTAACCCCCCCACAAAATAGGATTTTCGAGTTTGGGCAATTTTTAATTTTGGTTTTTTTTTTTTTTTTTTTTTTGCTTGTCAACTTTTTTAGGTAAGTTAAAAAAATTTTTTTCTGGTTGGCCCCCCACTTTCAAAAATCAAAGTACTGAAAGTACTAAGAAGCGCTAAGCATATTGATTTGGAATTCGTCAGAATTATATTTTAATTTAAATTGTCCTGTTGTATTGAATTCTAAGCGATATTTTGACAGCGCGATACCGCTAGGTCGAGCACAGTTGTCAAAAAGTATGTGAGTCCTGAATATGTGAACCCCGTTGGGATATGAAATTCAGCATTGCCTCATGCCTTTTTTTCAAACATCATACATTATCTTCGTATGTCAAAAGATCAATCCATTTTACTTACAGTACTGTACAAGAAATTGCAAGAAAATATTTTTGCGTGTAAAATTATTTTCTTTCGAGATGATAATCGAGCTTTCCGATCAAATTTAAACTCTAAATGTACATGTAGCTATACTGTCTGAAGACAATACTTTTGCTGGAAAATGTATACAATGTATTTGAAAAAAAAATGTTAACACTTGAAAATGTCGCTAAAATTCCTCTCATTTACGTGCAACACTGAAAGATAAAATCTTCTGGTGATCATATTTAATAACAAATTCATTCTGCGTTTACAAGTTTTTCAAATTGAAGATTGGCATCATGTTTGTAACAACGTCATATGTAAATGAAATTAACATCCGTAGAATTAACGCCCTTTATGTCAGAGATAATATGTAAATATACATTTTAGTGTAAAGATATTATATTTATCTTTTGATGTTATCCTGTAATCTCTGATATTCAAATATTTGATTTACAGTGTACATGTATTTGCAGTAACATTTGTGTTGATGTACAATATGGGTCACTCATTAGTAGATGATACGTTTTTGCAATAAATTTTTTACACTTTTCTTCTTTGGATTTAAAATACGTCAAACCCGTCATACGTTAAACCCCCAAAAGTATTTTTGACTATTGTTGAAATAATTTAAAATGCTTCAGTATTTTTTTGCAGACGCCTGGTGCATTTCACCATTCTTTACTTGTGTATTATGATCTTCACTACCATGCAAAACATGTTGAGAGGAAAAACATATCTACGACATTGTTGTGCTAGTTAAAAAAGGAATACTGAAAATAATTGCCCATAATATTTCTGCTATTTCAATGATTAATAATTCAAGAGTCCAATAAAGAAAATACAGTATTAATATCAAGTATTAATAAATCTTCATGAAGGTATACATCATTATTTTATTCTGTTTTTATTTAGTCTTCATTAAGAATCGGCAACACAGCTGAGACACATCTTTACATAAACTATTTAATCCTAGTTCCTACGATGGCCGATATCAGCCTGTACATATTTCGACTGCTATTGAAATTTGTACATCTAAAATGTACATTGACATGTACATTTTGCAATGACAGTGCACACTTTATGCTCTTAACGTTTGTCTGCACATGTACAAAATGACAAAAAGGCAAATGTCAAAACGTGAACGGTTGAAACACATATGCTTCTGATTACAATTCCTGATCGGCGAAAAACGATTAAATATGAATTAAATTGGACAAGGCACTGAGAAGATTAATTTTGCGATAAAAAGGATGAGAAATATTAAAAGAAAATGTAAACATTCTTGTGAACATTAAAACTAATGATAAAATTTGTCTTCTTTTACTGAAAAGAATTAAATTCCCATAGATTAAAATCACCTTCCACAAACATTTCTTGTTCAATGAATTGCCCCCATCCAACCCAGAAAATTATGATTATATAGTTTACACTACTTTTTGATCAAAAGTAAAGGGAAGTTGTAAAGGACATTTTATGATCGAGTAAGAGTCTAACCATAATATAACGTAAGATTAAATTGTGACCTCAACTGTAACCTTTGACCATCATTTTAAAAACTGTAACATTGCGTTTCATAAAGTATTTAGTAATTAACCATAACACAATACTTTTTTTAAAAAAAACAAAAGGTCTTAATTGTTTTCGACTTTGCATCTTACAGGTGTATACCACGTCTATGTCCCACCCCGAATTGTGTTATCATTGCTGGCATAGTGTTTTACAAAACAAATCTTGTTTTGATATTAATTGTTCAACTTTTCCCCGTTGTACACTTTTATTCATATTTAATGGTTTTTCGCCGACCAGGAATTGTAAGTAAGAGCATATGCGTTTCAACCGCTCACGTTTTGACATTTGTCTTTTTGCCATTTTGTACATGTACAGACAAAAGTTAAGAGCACAAAGTGTGCACTGTCATTGCAAAAAGTACATGTACAGAAAAAAGTTAAGAACACGAAGTGTGCACTGTCATTGCAAAATGTACATGTCAATGTACATTTTAGATGTACAAATTTTAAAAGCAGTCGGAATTTGTACAGGCTGATATCGGCCATCGTAAGTTCCCTACTTCAAGTATTACACCGTTTGCTTAACATTTCGTCAGCCCTATTTCTGTCCATTGCTAAGAACGTTAATTAAAGTTTTAGCATGTTTCACCATATCCTGCACACTACACGCACAATTTTAGAGCACAATACATGTATTCCGAGAAATAAGTTTTACTATTTGAGTGGATTCGTTGAAAACACATCCACCACATGCTGTACATGTCTGTACAGCCACAAACTGCCCTTCCTTTCGAATTATGTACAACACAAGTATAGACATTAAAAAAAAACCGTCCTTGAATGCATTCCAGTCTGTTACTAATTGATACTTAGATGCGAAAATCAACTTCACTGATAAATCTCAGCATGGTGCAAGATGTTAATAGAAACGCTTGTTTTAGTTACATTGCCTGAAATAATTGTCTAGAAGAAAAAATAATTATAGTTTATATGGATATATAGAACGTACCATATTATGTAAGTAATACATTGTAAATCAGTTTTATGTGATTTCTTTTATTGAATAACTCACTTCCAGTTTGAGATTTAAAACTTTATCAAAATCCCATCTGAGTTTTAAATCATGTACCGGGTACGTATGAATATTCAATCACTATATTGCATGTACATAATAAATAATATACTGGTTCTATAATTAAGTAATTGCGCCATAGAGGCAGCAATTGTAAGCTACGAGGTACCAAATTAATGTGTGCCGACATGATTTAAATGAACTACAATGTATACAGAAGAGCATGATAAGAACAGCTCTTATCTTCTAACTGTGGAACATCCTTAAACCTTACTAATTACCTTCTATTATTAGAAATGCACGTAACGCAGCATTACACTAAAATAGCAGAAAGAGAGTCAGGGATTTCCAGTTGCATATTTTTAGAATAACAAGTGGAGTTATCTAACTTGCTTATAGTGGCGCTGGATCCAGAACGGAAGTAGATTTACGCTGACAGAAAGCGCTGTGCGCTGCGCTTAGCGCTTAACAATGCTACGTGCCTGTTATATGTGGCTAAATGACTACATGTACTAATAATTGTTCATAAATCTTAATTTTGGCGGGGTTGAATACTGAATTCAGTGATGTTGTCCCAAACAAACGTGGAATTGTATCAAATACAATTCCCTTTATAAACAGCCCCCACACTAAACTGTATCAAATTATTGGAGCAGTTTTATCTTGATCCGAGCACACTTCTGAATTTCTTAATTAATCCATTTAATAATCAATTCAACTAGCATTTGAAATAATAAATCAAAAATACCTTTAAATGTATTTAAATATTTTATTCTTTTTCCAGAAAAGGATTCTTATGATATTAATTCACAGAATCTAACAAAAAACTGGAAAATTGATAATAAAAAAAACCCAATATGAGCCAAGCATACATCCATATAAACATTCAGAAAACAACAAGCACATCAACAATTTATCAAACACGCTTCATTCGTCACACTTTCCAATACAATATTTTCAATAATTTCAAAATACGCTCAAAAATTCAGATTTTTTCGCTATCACAATAAGTAAATTCTCATTTTAAAAAAAAATCAGAATAAAGGTTTGATTCAACTAATTTACTTTTTTTTTATATAAAAAAGTTAATATTTGATGTTCGTGTGTATATGACAGAATGCACTTGTAGACAGCTAGTGAAACACTATTCATGATCGTGTAGGAACTGCTCTTCTGCATCTTGTAATACTGCATCAGAATTGAACAATTTGACCTGTAAAGTCAAAGGTAAAAAGGTAATATTATATCATAACAATTTAGATCCATATAAATACACATACATATACATGACATTGTGTATAATGTAAATGCAAGAGTCATTAAAGAGTATTTTTAAAATATCTCAACTTTTGTCGTGACTGTTCCATTAAAGCTGTACCCAAATGTGTTGAAAATATTTTAAAGAAATAAATCCGGATAATTTCAATTTTAAAAAATCACACATATCCTCAAAATTCAAAATTATTAGAAATTCTAAAAAGCTGCGAAAAGGGGTAATGGAGCACATCAAAATCTAGTATTGCACTCAAAAAATTTAATTGTCTATATATAATCTACATGTATATGGTCGTAACTTTGTAAAATGGCATTTATAAAACGAATAACTGCCAAAGTTCAAATTGTTACATAATTTAGAACTCTACTGAACAAAAACAGGTAGCGTTTGTGTGTGTGTGTGTGTGTGTGGGGGGGGGGGGGGGGGGGGGTCGCAGGACAAATGCTAAAAATAGCGAAATGAATTCAGATGGAATTTTTTTTTTAGAAACTGACGTTTGCTGTACGTTTTCGATGTTATTTTGTTGGGTGCTTTGTGGTGAAAATACAAGTACAAGTTATTTTAAAATAAAGTAATATAAGGGGTCCGGACTCCACACATGACCAATGGACCCCTAACAAACTTAATACAATATTTTTACGGACTGACTTCAGCGATGCCATTTGGGAAAAAGTTCTCTGTGACAATCACATTAATAAGACGGTATTTAAGTGCCATTTCAATGTTGCAGAAAAAATATCGAAAATCGTACAAATGAATTTCTAAATTGTAGAAGCATTTAAAAAATCGTACAAACGAATTTCTTAATTGTACCAACGAATCTCTAAATCGTACAAACGAATTTCTTAATCGCACAAACGCATTTCTTAATTGTGCAAACGATTTTTAAAAAAGTTCAAACGAATTTCTAAATCGTACAAACAAATTTCAAAATTGTACAAACGCATTTCTAGTCTGGTCCTGATTTTTAAAAAGAAGGCTAGAAATAACTTCTAACGGCAAATAATTATTATTTGGTCCAGCATAGTTTTTTAACCTATTTCGAGTATGCTGAATCCGAAAAAATATGCTGGCCTTCATGAAAATGGCGTTAAAGAGGTCAAAATGGCGATTCAAAATGGCGGACATCTAATTTTTCTAATTTCTCTTAATGTTGTTCAAAATGGAGAAGTAATTAGTGAATATCTAACTGAGTGTAATAAAACTATAAAAAAAATATAATAGGATGCTAACATTTTTAGTTAAACTCAGAAAATTTAGTCGTTTCTACACTTAATTCGAATTTTCTCTGATTTTTTGTCTATTGTTTCTATATTCTTCTTTGTTCAGGATTTTACATTTGCAAATATCCATACACCGCAGATTTGTATTTTTCTCTCTACATCTCACTATTCTACAATTGAATGATGGTGCAGCTGTAAGTTAAAAGTGAAAATGGCGATTGAAAATGGCGGATATTCATCTTTTTCTTCAATTTTTTTTAATTCTTAATGTCGTTTACAAAGGAGAAAGGATTTGTGAATATCTTACTGAGCATAGTATAACTATGTAAAATGAAAATAGAACACTAATTTGATCACTTTAAATCAGAAAATTTAGTCGTTTAAATTTGAAATGTATTAATTAACTCAAAATGGCAAATCAAATGACGTCTTATACACCCGAATTTCGTGAAATACCCAAACTGCTAAATTCTGGTTCGTTTTGCAGAAAATAAATTACAGTTTGTTTTTTTAGTCATGAATAATGTTAAAATACGCAATGAAAGTTGGATGATATTTTTGTAAATGACTTAGGATTTTTATAACACGGATTTTTGTTTAATAACTTCTATTGTTTAGATATATTTTAGTTGTTGGAAATTCTTGATCTATTTTAAGTCCAGTGTAGAAAAAAAATTGATATTTATGTTTATGTGGAAGGTCTAGTGCAACATAATTTAGTATGATTTTTAAAATGATTGACCACGACCAATTAGAGGGCTAGTACTTGTTACATCATATAAATCTTAATATATTATAATATCCAAATACAAACATATTTATTAAGAATTATTAGTATAATATACGTAAACCATAAATTTTCTTGATTGTCCAGCTTTGATTCTGTATCCCTACATTTGCATTTTGTTATTCTCAGTCAAAAATTCAACTGCATTATCAAATATTTCATGCTGTGAACGGATAATTTTGTACTGAACTGTGTATATAAATTTAAAAATTTTGAAATTCACAAAATCTGAAAGAAGAAAATGTTTGTTTTCAACCCCCCTCGATTCTTGATACAACCTTACAATATCCTAACAAAGTGTGTGGATCAAGTTGCCTTGTAAAGTTCTTGAAGTGTTCAAGAAAATGTTGTCAAGAAAAGTGTTGACTAAATCGAAATCAAGAATGGCTTAGGCCTATTGGTACGAAAGCTTGTAAGTGATAGGAATCACGAGGAATCTGCAGGGGCTCTTAAATTGCATAATTTTACAACTTTTCTCACCAAAATATGCACACAATGTGATTCCAGATGATAAAGTTTGAGAGTTTTCTTGCTAAAAGAATGACCTTTCTACCCTAAAAGACAACAAATCTATACGAGGTCACAAAATAAAGAGCTACGTGTCTTGAATATCAGAGATTTTTTATACCCCCGCTTGAAAAGCGGGAGGGTATAGAGTAATCAGTATGCCCGTCCGTCCGTCCGTCTGTTACACTTTGGGGTACCCATCTCTTATCCGGAACTCCTCTTATACCACTGAATGAAATTTAATGAGACTTCCGTAGATTCTTTGTTTCATAGTGCCATTGTGCACCTCATATGTTTTTGTTTGATCAGACACATATTTTGGGTTTCCCATAGCAAAACATGGACGCTGTCATTGTACTCATATGGGAGATGGTGGTGTCATTTAGTGAGCTAATTGCTCACAGGACCTCTAGTTCATTTTGCGTAAGGTTTTGGAAAACAAAATAGACTTTAAACATTTGAACATAAATGTGTTGCTCCTTGAGTGCTGGTTGATTTATTTTATATTGTTTAACGCCGAGTCGGCAATTTTTCAGCTATGTTTCGACGGACTATCAATTAAAATAATAGGAGTTTGGTTTCTCTCGCGGCCCCCAGTGAGCTTACTCTTTTTCGAACTCCAGAGAAACGATCTTTTACGTGCCAAGGGGGTTGTCATCCTTGACACGGGGCACCATTTTACTTGAGTGTTGAAAATACCAAAATTCCGGAGACAGACCGAAACATATAGCAAATATTTAAAGCTGGAATAGAAGATGTTAGGGGATAATACTAAGTTCTTATAAGTGCTAAAAAGCTAGAACAAAGTATTCGATGAAATCGGACATGAATTTCTTCAGTTATATTTGATGGTGCCGAGGGATGTTGAGGTAGAAGTTCGAGGTGATAATGACATCGATTCAAGAGTAATTTTAGGTGGACGGGGGCTCAAAGGCTTTGGAACACGGTCAAATACGATGGGGAAAATTTGGAAACTCTTAAGTCGAGTTTGTTTTAACTATTTCCAGAAAAAAAATAATCTTTTCAAGTATTTTTTGTTTGTTCACATCTAATGGACTAATAAATATATTATACATTCTATATATTTAAAAACAAAATGTAATTTATTTTCTGCTAAACGACTCAGAATTAAGCAGTTTCTACGAAATTCGAGTGTACAAGACGTCATTTTGAATCGCCATTTTGAGCGAATTAACACATTTCTAATCTAAATTTTCCGATTTAAAGTGATCAATTTAGTGTTTTGTTGGCAATTTACATAGTTGTACTACGCTCAGTAAGATATTCACAAATCCTTTCTCCTATGTAAACGACATTAAGAAATAATTTTGAAAAGATGAATATCCGCCATTTTGAATCGCCATCTTGACTTATAACTTATAGCTGCACCATCATTCAGTTGTAGAATAGTGAGATGCAGAAGAAAAAATACAAATCTGCAGTGTATGGATATTTGCAAATGTAAAATCCTGAACAAAACAGAATATAGAACAATAGACAAAAAATCAGAGAAAATTCGAATTAAGTGTAGAAACGACTAAATTTTCTGAGTTAAACTAATAATGTTAGCATTCTATTTTCATTTTTATACTTGCATTACACTCAGACTGAGATATTCACACATTATTTCTCTTTTTGAACGATATTAAGAGAAAATTAGAAAAAAAATTATGTCCGCCATTTTGAATCGCCATTTTGACCTTTTTAACGCCATTTTCATGAAGGCCAGCATATTTTTTCGGATTCAGCATACTCGAAATAGGTTAAAAAAAACTATGCTGGACCAAATAATAATTATTTGCCGTTAGAAGTATTTTTTTCTATAAATCGGTCCAGACTATTCTAAACCCTACAGCGATTTAAAAAAGAAATCGTACAAACGAATTTCTAAATCGTACAAATGTTTTTTTTTTCTTTTTTTTTTCTGCAAACTTGAAGTAGCACTTACAAGTCGTCGCACATTTAACCATTTAGTGACAAACAGCCTGTAACACTGCTTCAAAGTGTCAACAGTGAACTGCTTACTTTCTGTTTAATTTTTATGTCAACTTATATATTATGTACAATTTGATCTACTCCTCTGGTCAATGAGAAAAGCTGATAAAATGAAGTTCGTCATTTGCTGACTCACTCGAGTCGAGATCCCTAAAGTAACTTTGTGATAATGGAGTTCCATTTGATCAAATGAAATGGAACAGCACATTTAGACAATCTAAATGTTTTGAATGTAAAATTTACTTATGATAATGTGTCGATAGATATCTGTATAATTTTTTTTATTCTAAGTTCGTTTGATACCATGATAAGAGAGATAACTTCTCACTGGGAAAAATTACTATAACATGCATTTCTTGATAGCACTGTCAAACTTCAATCATTTCTGTGAAATTTTGCCCCAAAAAGGTATGCTGAAATTATATAAATTTTTAATTAAATTTGACTTCTTTTGGAAAATTATTAGAGAAATCAAAATTTTATCCAGGTGATCAGAGGGATGATGGACCTTTAAAAATGATTTTAAAAAATACATTTGTGTTTTAAACATCTGTGGAAGTGTATTTTGAAAAGGTCTCTCTCTCTCTCTCTCTCTCAGTCTTTCTTATACAGCAAGGTTAAATATGTGAATGTAAGGGAGACTACTGGATTGATTGAAATTTTTTTAAAGCTGAGTTGGCGGTATTACAGCTCTATTTTGGCTGTAAAAAATTACATTAAAATTTGAAAATTTGCAATGCAATGGACTGGAGCCAGTGGAGGCCCAGTAACATTAGGATGTTTGCAAGAGTTTGAAGTTAAAGTTGAATGAGATTATACTTCACTACTTCAGTTTTCATTTAAATATTTATTTCAATCTAATTAAAATTAGATCTTTGATCCGCTCCAGTTTGATCGCTACACAAAGTAGCGATCAAACTGGAGCGGATCAAAGATCTAATTTTAATTAGACTGATATTTATTTTTGAGGAAATGTTGGAAGGTTTGAAATTATTCAATTTTCATAAAAAGTTCAATAAAATAGAAAATTATAACAAGTTAGTATAAAACAATAAAATAAAAATAATGTGAAATTTGAAATCAGTTACAGAAAGTAAGGGTCTAATGGCCATAATGGATAACATTTAACAGTATAAACTTTTTTTCTCCATCCTTCCTGAAATCTTTAATTTTTACTTACATCAGGAATTGGGTATTTTGTTGGCTGTGGTGCTTCATCTCTATTAAAGTCTTTCATTGCTCCACATTTAGCAATATCATTATTCCAGACACCTTCATATATCTGTCCAGTTGTAAGATAAAAGAATTTACCAGGGCCATTTTTCTTGTCATCTCGCCATGATCCTTCATATCGGTTTTCATTGGCTGAAATTTTAAAATTGTGAATGTTTCAGTCTAGTTTAGGAATGGCGTCTCATTTGAAAATTAGCTCTTTTTTCAATATCAAGTCTAATAAACGGTTCAATTTAAACCATGAACTACTTTCAAAAGAAAAGAAAACAAAACATGAAATCAAAAAACAAAAACCTAGAAATTTTTACTTCTTTTAATTTGTATTTTTTAACTTAATTATTCAATTAAAAAGCATTTAATTAATGCTCCTACAAAATAAAAGTTATTGATACATGTGAAATAAGCTGTTATTGTCTTACTTAATCTAAGCATTCCTTGACCGTTTCTCTGATCATCATACCACTCTCCCTCATATATCGTCCCATCTCTATAATACATTCTTCCCCAACCACTTCTTTTATCTGCATACCATTCACCCTCATAATACTCCTCATCTGTATAAAACTGGGTTCCATACCCCTGAGAAAACAAAAAATAATATTATATGCACATGTGTCTATTAAAATGGTGTATGAAGTGCAAGAACAACAAACATTATCCTAATATTGGACTCTTTTTCCATCTTGCAATGCCAGGGGTCCTGGGTTAACATGTCCAATGGCAATGTGCTGCTTTTTCATGGGACATATTTATTTCAGTATTTAAATTGATGCAAAGATTTATAGACATTACTGCGAACTTACATGTCTCATATCATTTTTCCAGCCCCCAGAATATTCCTTCTTGTAACCACCCTTTCCATCAGGCATGCTGTATGTTCCAAAACCATTTCTTTTTCCTCTCTTCCAATCTCCATCATACAGAGCTCCATTCTCCTTCCACTTATATGTGCCCTTTCCTGCAACATGTAGAATGCTCATATCAACATATTCACATACCCACCCCCTTCGAAAGCTTACTATATTTTAGTTTACGCCCCCCATTAAAGCAATATTGACAGAAAAATCCCATACTTACCGTCTTTTTTATTGTCAAGCCATTCTCCGGTATACTGATCCCCATTTACTGAGTACACGGTATGACGAACTCCTTTTTTCTGGGCCAAATAATCCCAGTCTTTCCACAGAGGTTCCTTGTCTTTGGGTTGTTTTATATGAGGCATCTTAATTTTTTACTTAAATACCTAAATTATTATTTTCAGAACCTGACAAAAGGTCCTCTTCTACACCTTTTCTACGTAGTTTCTATCATTTATGCCAAAAATCGATGTTTACAAACAAGTACGAGAGATTTACCTCGGTTGCTATGGTACAGGATGGAGTTTATTGACTTCCGAGCCCGATAAATTTTAAAACGGCTAAACAATGAAAAATTTGAAAGAAAAGGCATATATGTTGTGATATTAAGTTGTTTATATGTTGTTATATTTTTAAATTACTGTTTTCAAATAGGCTTTTTTTATTCCAACTTCCACTGGAACACGAAAAAAAAAACTGAGTGCAAAGAACACATGTACATGTATAAAAATAACATAAAAGTTACCATTACTTGAATTTACAGATATTTGTAAATCATGTGTGTACAAATGTAGGTATTTCTTCGAAATGTTTTAGTAACAATTTTTAGTAATTATTTGTGACAATTTTTTTTTAAATAAAAAAAACACTTCCTACGACCATAAAACTTGCCAGTTAATATCTCAAAATAGGTTACGAGTGTATCATTATTTGGCGTTGATTTTTCTCAAGATGTAATATTGCGTATCCGATAGAGTTTTATTATAAAGATTCATCTCGCTTAGATTCATAGATTGAATGATATAAATTGAAATAAAAATATGTCTTTATTGTTTTCATTCGTTGAATATTAATTTGGAATTTCTTAATCTATTTTGATGAATGAATTGTCCTAGAAATCCACAGTTAGTTTAAACCATATTTTATTTGACCATGACAGAGAGAGAGAGAGAGAGAGAGAGAGAGAGAGAGAGAGAGAAACTTATACTAATTCGTTTCCTTATTATTTATGATAAAGATGACAGACCTTTATTAGATAGTTACATAACACGGTTTAAGCTGCATTACAACAATATTTGACAGTTGCAATTCTCAATTGTACTTCAATTGAGAGAGAGAGAGAGAGAGAGAGAGAGAGAGAGAGAGAGAGAGAGAGAGATCTTAATTTTTGCAGATGCACATAGCCTTCATAGCTTATTATATCAGGGACTATATACTTAGTATATAGGTCCCTGATTATATAAATTTGGAAGTGAATTCTCGAATTTTTTTTGGTCAGTTAGTATTATGCGATCATATGTTAAATGTACCTATTTTATCTTTTACTTAAATAGTATTTAGAGGATCAGTCTCTTAAAACTTAACCCCCCCCCAAAAAAAAGGGGGGAAATGATTTCATGCAGATATCGGAGTATACGACTCGGAATTTGTGTAATCAATTATAAATACTTAAATAGTGTTTAATGAAAATTCTCAGAAGCACACCAAAAATTCGTCAAGTGTCTGTTATTCATAATATTTGGAAAATCAGAGAATATTAACCCTTGCATTCCATACGAACAAGATCCTGATTGTTTTGAAGCTGTCTTCCATATTTAAATAAACCATTTTATTGTTTGTCATTATTCCTCAATGTAAAACTTCAATCAAACCGAAAACATGAAATATTTGGCATCAATTATTTCTTGGAAATATCTCCGCCATATTTTTTTGATATTTTTCAGAGGTTTTTTTAACTTCTGGGATTTAATAGGTCGAATGCCTCAAATGAATAAAATGTTCCGTGCATTCGATGTGATGAGACAAGATTTGTATTCACTGCCAACTGATAAATTCTAAATTTACAACACAAGGATTTTCCGGCCTGTACGAGCAAGCAGCAACTCCTACAAAAATTTGAAATTATATAATCTTCATCTCCGTCTGTGCTAATTTATTAGAGATGTTTGCTAGGTAGTCTTTTAGACGGTACAGACATCATAAACACATTCTATCAAATAATAATTTATTTACATATAAATTGACATATACAACATGGAAATTTACATCATTTAGGAATGATTATCAATGTGAGCACAAAACAGGAGGAATTTACTACATTTCGTTATAATATAAAACAATGCTGACACAATCCATAACGATGATGAAGATGATAGGCCTATACACCCTGTACATTGAACCTTTCAACTACTGGATCTTTTTAACATGAAAAGAAAACAAGAGACCATGCATCAATTCAAACAGCAAAATTCAGGACATTATGTCTAATTCTATTGAATGAACTAAATGTACGAAATAATTTTCTTACAGTTACATGTTTATCCCCCCCCCAGAAAAAAGGACTCTAAAATGCAAAGCAGTTGTGCTGGAAAACAGGTCCATGTCACGTAGAGTATGTAAGACAAACCTTTTTATTGTCAGAAACTAAAGCCTCTTAATTGTTACAAAAAAATAAATATTATTTAGATAAGATAATACCAATGAATAATATTGAAAAGGCAAGATTTCATATAATAAATTCACATAATATTACCTCTTCAGGCAATTTAAACTAATGAAATATTTCTTTTGCATATACATATAAAATAGCACCATTTTATATAAATCTTACAGCAACATAATTAGATTCTGTAACATTCAAAAGGAATAAAAAGTATCAAGCAGAGCAAGAAGACTTCAGGCTATGAAGCTCACCTGAGTCCCAAAAGAACAATGTAAGTGTGTGGAATGTCAACTGTATGAGAAACAACAAATAGAAAGTTAATAAACATCATATGTTTAATCATAGAAACGTACAGAGAGGTTACAAACTTTATAATCAGAAAAAGCCCATTGGAGATTAAGGTTCAATAGAGAAAGAAATGGAAAACTCTGCACTACCATGTATATTGTTTAATAGGGTGAGGAAAAGTCAAAACAGCTAGTTAAAAATCTGAAAAACATCTTACCTCCTAAGAAATGAAAAACTCTGGACTATGCGTATCATTAGGAAATGTCAACAATGCTACCTATTAAAAGTTTGATAAAACATCTAACTTTCTAGGAAATGAAAAACTCTCTACTATGCGTATTATTAGGAAATGTCAACAATGATACTTATTAAAATTTTTTTTTTTTTTTTAAAGAAAACATCAAACCTCCTAAATGATTAATTTAAACCAGAAGTCTCTGTCGAGACTGTAGCTCTACTGGTTTGTACTGATCAAAAACCGATGCACAGAATTATGTATCTTAGTGTAGTCTATTTGTGTGATAAGTTATATTGAAATCAGACCAAAACTGTAGAAGGAGTAGCATTTTAAAGGAATTCCACAGAAAATTCTACTTTTAATAACCATGGCAACACCGTTCATTTAAATCAAAAACCGATGCACTATTATATGTAAATTAGTGTAGTCTACTTGTGTGCCAAGTGATAATGAAATCAGACCAAAACTGTAGAAGGAGTAGCATTTTAAAGGAATTTCTCAGAAAATTCTACTTTTAGTAACCATTGCAACACCGCTCATCGAAATCAAAAACCGATGCACTATTTTATGCATCTTAGTGTAGTCTACTTGTGTGCCAAGTGATTTGAAATGAGACTAAAACTGTAGAAGGAGTAGCATTTAAAAGGAATTTCATAGAAAATTCTATTTTTAGTAACCATGGCAACATCGTTCATCGAAATCAAAAACCGATGCACTATTTTATGTATCTTAGTGTAGTCTACTTGTGTGCCAAGTAATATTGAAATCAGACCAAAACTGTAGAAGGAGTAGCATTTTAAAGGAATTTCTCAGAAAATTCTATTTTTAGTAACCATGGCAACACCGTTCATCGAAATCAAAAACCGATGCACTATTTTATGTATCTTAGTGTAGTCTACTTGTGTGCCAAGTTTTATTGAAATCAGACTAAAATTGTAGGAGGAGTAGCGTTTTGAAAAATTGTTTACAGACAGACGGACAGACAGACAGACAGACGGACGGACGCCGGACGCATTACTATCGCATAAGCTCTTCTGGCCTCTGACCAGTAGAGCTAAAAATCAAAATTCAATCTCTGTTAATAATAAAAATTTTCTACAAACAGATAAATCATTTAGGTGTAAATATTTTCTTAAACTTGTAAAAGAGATTGTTTACATAGTTTCAGAACTTAAAGTTTAAAATGCACATTCATATTGATGTTAGCACCTTTTGAAATGAAATATACTTGCTTTACAAGGTGATTTCTTAAATAAATTACATGATTGTATATTAAAATAAATGTTCAATATTCTAACAAATACTTAACAAAAATCATAGACGTAAAAAGCACCAAATTTAAATCCTCAATCAGTCAAGCGAAGCTCTCAATGTCTACACATCCAGAATGCTGTGGTTCATATCAATCTCTTCAGCCATTCTGCCAAGAGCCGCAAGATCCCTCTCATGATTGTCAAATTTATGCGCAATCAGTTTTTTATAAAAATGAAAAGCAAAAACCAAGAATACAATTCCCACAGGTATCACAATGGCCGTGGAGGCCCAGGCAGCGGCCACATTGTGTCCCACCTTGTATGAGGTGAACTTCACCCAACATATTAACACCAATTCCGCTAGGAATAACATGATTCCAAGTCCTGTAGAAAAAGCCCAGGCCATCTGTATGAAGAGCTGCATTTTTTCATGAGGTGACTCTTTGACGGAGTTGACATTATGGACATTACTGACAGCTTCGATGTGGGGCAAAATGCAAGTGCTCACCATCAATGCTAGCAAATGAACTGACACCAGTAAAGTGGTGCACACACTGAATGCTATAACAAGTCCTGACGGTACATCATCTTCAATTCCTATCTCCACCAGGGCGACCTGAAGTGAAAATACAACTTGAACAGTACATATGCATGTATGCATTAAAAAAGTTTTTCGTTCATATCAATACAATGTAATACCTATAATTGTCATTTTAAAATAATTATATATCTTGATCAATATTAAGTTTATTGTAGTACTTGTGAATCTGAAGAAATTGCAAAAATGCTTATAATTGCCCAGTTGTTGGCTGCTGAAGTTGCAGCACACACTAAGAAAATTCAATGACATTCGATATCTATTATACAAGACTTGTATGTATCTGGAAAATTCTACATGTACATTTAATTTTTTTTTCTTCATATTTTGTACAGCCTTACTGCAACAAAAGCACACAAATAAATAGTTAATGCTAGACACTCCTAAACATAAGGTCGTGATAAACCCGATTAATATGAATGCTCACCATTGCAAATCCTGACAGCAAAGCTGAAGTATTGCTAGAAGCTTTTAACTTTGCCCTGCTCAGATAGAGTTTTCTCCAATGTGGCGCATTAGGATGTGAATTCATACTTTCACGAAAACTTAGCAGCTTCGGAGATAATCTTGAGCTATCCTCATACACAGAGAAAACGTTGTTAGATATATACGCAAGCATACAAATAAAGGCAGGGAGGCCTACTTCTAAATTTTAAGTGTTTACAGAGCTGTCAACCATTTCCCATATTGTTTTACTGTCAACTTTGACTATTTTTAGGATTGAATATATTTTCACAAAACGGAAAAGCTTTTATCATGTTTTAATGCAAATACTTTTTTAAAGCTTTTAAATTTAGAATAAATAATGGGATTTATATGTATTATTTAAGGATTTTACCTTCCTTATTTTATATTGGAAATTTATTAAGGGATATATTACTGTACTTTTGACATGGTCCCTCTCTCAGTTGTTATCACGTGGTCTGTATATTTATATGTACGTTCAGAGTGTGACGTCAGAGACTTTGTATGCACGCTAAACTGTGAAATCTAGAATTATTTTCACTGATAATAGGAATATGCCCCAAAAATAACTTTTTTCGACTTAACAAAATGACTGATTCGCCAGAGGCAGGACGCAAATTGGTAGGTTAAGGACTCAATAATGTTCAAAAAGTTACGTGCTAACGATAAACTGTGATATGAAGTAAACCCTGCAAGCAGCCATTTTGTATCATACTGACCACCAACAAAAGAAATGTAGATCTATAATAAATATTAGCAATATACCCAGTATCACAGCCAACATAATATTTGATTGTGAATGATTTTCTTTATTTTGTTTAGCTGGTGAACAATTTTATCGAGAATTATTATGCAAAGATCTTATGTAAAATTGTGTAAGCAAATTAGGAAGAACAGTGTTAAGTACAAAAAAAGTCGTATTAAAACATTTTGAATTCTTTTAACTGTCTGTTTAAATTTTATGTAGCAAAAGAAATATGAAAACAAGCTACTTATGGTATTTTATACAGAAATTCAGGTTGTTTTTCAGGAAAAAACACCTTTTCCGAGACATCGCAAATCGGCTACACGTGTCCAAGTGTATTTTTTTTTCCTAACAAATGAATATTTTAAATAAAAAGAACGCAAAAGTGATCTTTTCCAGTTGCAAATCTAAAAACATATTATAGTTTGTGTTTTCCAATGGTGTATTCATACATTAAAGAGGATAAATTGTTTTTCCTTGCATAAAATGTTCTTCCCGTTGTCTAAGTCTAAGTATATTCAACGAATATAATGTGTTGCATATTTTTCAAAGTTTTACATTATTTTCACAAATATATACACGGAGTTGACTGTGATTGTAATTTTTAGGTTTAATAAAAAGAAAATAATGTTTTCAAACAACAATAAATGAGAAAGGGGTTCAAAAGATACACATAAATTTGTTATGTAATTTTTCATTTGTTTCTGGAACAGCTTGTTTTACTGAATATATACTGGAATGTGGACAAAAATAGGGACATTTTATACGTTTTTGCAGTTTACAGTCCTCATTTATCAGTCAATGCTTCTTTTGTGATGGGAAAGGGAAATATATGAATTAAAAACGAACATTTTTAGTATTTTTCGTTATATGCCTGCATGTACGTGAACAATGCATTACTTCCGTGAAAATCGAGTTGGTTTAATTTTTGTCTCTCTAGCATTTATAAATCATAAAAGATTATTATTTGATAAATATAAAGAAATAGAAAGAAATAAGGACTGTGGTATGCAGATGTGGAGCACTAAACACATAAACTAAAGGAAAAACAAACTGTCCCCTTTTCTCTCTCTATACTTTGACCGCGGGCGCAACGCTCGATTTGTCGATTTTATGTCGACATGGGATCTCGATTTTAAAGCGTGTATATGTGGTATTTTCTTTTATAATTCTGACAATCCATAAAGAGAGACTGGTGACTTGATCATGTGAAAGAAATAAATAATCGAAACACACCTGCAAAGTTAATATATAGTGCTCACAAAGAAAAAAAAATGGCTTGCTGCATGCTTTCACGATTGAATCGAAAATCATTAATATCTCTATCAATTTTCATGTAAATGGTTGCTTTCTTAATATGTCTGATTATAGGTCACTTCTTGATTATTTATCTTCGTGCAGATGAAAAATATATCTTCGTTCCAAATGAAAAGTGTCTTGAAATACGTGTTTCAGAAGTGAATCGTTTTTCATAGTGTGATTGTAAGAAAATTTGAACTTGAATTATATAAGCAACGACATAAGCTAATTCAAAATTAAGGAGAGAAAGAAATAAAATCAAATAGTTTTGAAGTATAGGATTTTGTTTCCTTACAAAACAGTAGTGATCGGAAATTTGATTAATACCACAGCATGCGTGAAAAATGTTTCATTTTTAGTCAAATTTTAAGAACTGAAATGTTAACACGCACTAGTACTGATTTGTATTAGAACGGTAAAGATTAACAGTACAAGATTTGTTTATTACAAACAATTCAAAATTTAATCATCGTCTTTTGGCGAAGTCTTAGATAGCACGTAAAGGTATATACTACACTTACTACTGGAGCATGCGAAAACGAGAGGTAAAGGTTATAGAGGCTGACAAGACTAAGGTAGGAATGTGGAATGTCAGCTCAACACCTTCAAATATGCCGCACAAAAGCAAGGCAAGTGGTCGCTTTTCAAAAAAGAAATGATCTAAGTGTAAATCTGATAGCAGTGTGCTTATTTCTCTATGATGATTGAAGAAAACTTAAGAAATCTTGCAGAAAAGAAATGGAATTTGATTTGAAGACATATCCAATTGGAAGAAACGAAATTGTAATATTTATTTTTGAATGGGATGGAAGTTGCAATCGGAAGATAAAGTTAATTTCGGTAACCTACAAATTGAAATCGATTTTTATTTTCTTGACTTTTTGGTAATGGTAGAAATAAGTATAGTGTATATGTTTCGTAATTATTTTGTCAGCTCCTTAACAAACCATATAAAGAATACGATGAAATGACAAGGTTACAGACCACAGAATAAGATGTGTATTCGTTAGATAAAACCGGGGATTTTTTTTTTAAATTTATTTTTACTTTTCCACTATATATAGGAAATGCTAAATGTAAAAAAAATATTTTAAAGGAAATAATAAGATTTAAGCGTTTTTTTTTATATTGAAATTATACGTATGACAGTCTTTTGATATAAATGAATAAGTATATACATTTCAAGACCTTACCACTGTTATAATCTTTTTGTATAATAATTGGAGAATGTGCGTCGGTTATTTTTTTCTTGAAAATTTAAAGGTTATTGCATGACACGTGATGTTCAGTCCAGGTGAGCGTCACTATTATTGACTATTTCATCAGAGGTAGATGCACACGTGCATGCATTGGCGATAGCGTCATAAAAATAATTCTATAAGTAATATAAATTGTCTTGAGTTTTAGAGTCTTTAATGATTTAAAGGAAGACTAAGCAAAAAGTAGAAAATTTAGTTTGTTATAGAAGTTGCAGTTAGTAACTTTTTTTCTGTTTTTTTTTTCTGTTTAAGCAAGGGCGTATAATTGGTGAGCCCTTGGCTCGCAAAGTTGAATTAGTTTTTTAAGATTGAGCATTTAAAATCTCACGCACGTTAATTTTTTCTTCTATTTCTACTTATAAAATCACATGCACGATTTTTTTTTAAATTAATGAACTATATATTGTCTTCACTTGTCATACAATAATTTTTTAACGATATAAAATGTTGGGGGAGGGGGCTATAAGTTGTAGATTTCTTTTATTATACATAATAACCAAGACAGAAATTATGACATTTATTTATTTCTCGTCTTGAGCACATAAAGCCTATTAAAGGCATGCTACGCAGTGCAAGTATATCGGTATTCAAGGGCATGGTTTTTACGAATGATACACGTTTTACTGTAAAAATTATTGTTAAAATGTTATAAAAATTGATTATTTATTGATGAAGTAATATAATTCATTAATTAATGATGAAATAATGATTTTTTTTTTTAAAAATATAAATTGATAAAGGTTAATCATTTGAGGTTATAATGTACCAAAGGAGGAGCATTTATCGGTTTTTCAGTAAAAAGTAAGGGAAAAAAAATTCCTTTTTTCAAAACAAAAAGCATTACAGAAGTTTTTGTCGATGAAAAACGGGAAAGCAGTTGTTCAAGTTTCACTATTTTTGTATTATTTATTTATTTTTGCATGCCTTTTCTTTTTTAAAATGTATATATACTATAAATACAATTTTTAAAGATTAGATTTACTCAAGTAATGTGTAAAACATGTCTGAAATCTTTTTAAAACGAACGTTTTTAAGTTTTAAAGTATTAAAGAATACAAATAGCTGCTATTCTTTTCATAAATGAATATGTTTTCGAAATAACGAATTACGAATTACTAGGAATTGTTGATATAATACCAGTACAAGGCAATGATAAATTATTATTATGTGTATTCGTTTGAATTTCTTACAAATTGACATTAAGTAAACGATATTATCATTGCATGTTTGGTCAACCCATAGAGACTTTTAAGATATTTATTTTTCTTTGACATAGAAACAGTGGCGGATATAGGTCGGTTAGTCACGCGTGAAGTGCACCGTAAATATGCATACACGTGGCGGTAAGGATATGTAATGCGGTGCACCGGATACATTATTGTTACATAGGAGGGTGCGCGCTTTATTATTTATTTATTTATTTACCTCAATGCTGTGGACATGAGTGCAATGTTAAACTTTTAAAACTTAACAGGTGTTCATATTTTTCCAACGATGAGTGAGGCAATCGATAAAAGTAAGGAGTTCGGGGACGCTAGGAATATTGCAGAAAAAGACATTCCTTCACGTGAAGAAGATGAGAGCGCATTGCTATTTTTAAGTAGACATTCTGACAATGGAAAATTAATCATCAACATTAAAGTAATTATGTCAACTGCATTACAATTTACATAACGTGTGATATGAATGTAGCCATGATTATTTCAATGCAGTTGGGTTATAAAAAATATAGATTTTCCCCCATTCATTGCGCAGTGCGCTGAAACTAAAATAGAACAAGTCTGTCCTTGAGACAAATCTTGGTTTGCTTTTGTTGAATTTATATATTGTAGTGTTTGTACATGTATCTACAATATTGTAAACTTAACAGGGGTGAAAGAGAGGAAGTACTACGCAGACGTTGATTTAAACGTAATACAAATTTTAAAAAATTTTACAGAGAGAGAGAGAGAGAGAGAGAGATCATTACACAGACGTTTTAAAATACAATACATTTTTTAATTGATATGGAGAGTGGAGAGACATTGATGTTAATAAAACATAAGTATCGTAATTATTTTGAAGGGAAAAGATAGAAAACATTGTTCACAGACATTTATTTAAATGTAATAAGAATGTAGTTATTGCAGAGGATAAAGGAGAGAGACGTTGATTTGAATGTAATCAGAATTTTGTCATTATTACAGAGAGTGAAGGAGAGAAAGCATTACACAGATGTTGATTTGGATGACGATGACATTGATGGAAAGAGAAGTTACACACTGGATGAAAAACTCAAATCAAACAAGTACAGCAAAAAATATGTCAAGGAGTTAAAGGGCGAGGGTAAGTAGTCAACGAGGATTGACTGTAAAAGGGGGGGGGGTCATTATGCTGCTAAAACCAGATTAATTTATATAATTATAGATATTGCCTTCTTTACAATAACAAAGGAGAATTTGTTAGACATTTAGAAGATAATGTAGCATTTGAAATTGAAAATAAATTACGTTTTGTTCCTTTATTTTTTTTCCCCAGAGTTTGGCCTCAAGTACATCCAAGAACATGGCCTGGAATTTCCTCTTGTGTTCTATGAGAAGACAGGACTTGGTCTCAGGTAAGGTTCCGATAAGTTTTTACTATATAGATGTACAATATGATAAATATTGAAAGTAAATATTTATAAAGCTATGATAGTAAGATATAAGATATCTATTCTTTTCATTTTGTAGAGTTCCAAGTGAAAATTTTAAAGTTTCTGATGTCAAACAGTGTGTTGGTAAGACAATATGGAGCAAAGTGACATACAAAGGGGCATAATTTAAAAGACGTTTTTGATCATTTAAAATAAGATTATCAACATGACTTTAAGTTCAAAGGGAGATAAATGAGAAAATAAAAGATTTTTGAAAAAAAAAAGTTTTGAGACTTTTCATCACATGTTCTTTTTCAAGAAATTCTTTAATTTTTTTCCATTTTTTTCCTTTAAGAATCTTTACAAACTTTCCTTGATATATTGAATTATTTTGGCTGAATTCTCTGTAGGGAGCAGACGAATGTTGGATGTTATGGACGTCAACACTCAGAAAGGGATGGAGATGTCTATGCGTGAGTGGGTCCAGTATTACGAGAATCCGGAGAGACAGAGACTACTCAATGTCATCAGTCTGGAGTTCAGTCACACCAAACTAGAGAACTATGTGGAATCACCCAGCTTTGTACGGGAATATTATATCAGAAAATAGTTTTTTTTATCAGTTTAAGGGGGGAAAAATCATAAGATAAGTTTTATAAGATAAGTTCTTGTTGTAAAAAGGGAGTTGTGTTCTAGTGTACTCAATGCAGTGGTGATTAGGGAAATTTTTTTTGGAAGAAATTGAGAGATAAAATTTGCATAGAAAACTTCTCTAAGGAATGTTATTTCCTGGAAATTAAGATTAAAATAAAATTGAATTATACCTACATATAATTTTTAAGAGACAATTATTTTAAATTTTTGGAAACAAAATGTCACATTAGTTTAAGATTTCAATATTTTGTTGCTGTTAGGTGAGACAGATGGACTGGGTGGATACAGTGTGGCCAAGACATCTGAAGGAATGTCAGACAGAGTCAACCAACATCATCGAAAAAATGAAATACCCCAAAGTGCAAAAGTAAGAGATATTTTATATTGATGAATTTTGGAATTTTTAAAAAAGTTTAATGCTGTGCTTAATGCTTTTCCATGTCGACCTTTCTCTTGGCTACAAAAACTGTTCGGGCTAGGTCCCAGGATCATGAAACTGATTAAGTCACGTTTTCAATCATCTCTAAGATCTTAATTATGTTCAGAATCTCTAATTTTGTACATAACATTGCTCTGATGATTGGATATTGAAATTTTTTTTTCTTGAATTGGTCTATCTATCTTCTACGACATTTCAGCCCAATATAATCCATGATTTTGACTTATGCTGAGGAAGTTTCATGCATATGGAGCTAGAATACTAAGACTTATTTGCCCAATATTTAGAATGTGGATGCATGTATACCTCTATGACCTTGAACAAATTTAGACTATTTGAAAAAGAGGAACACTTCTAGTGTTCCAAAATCATATTTATACCCATCTAGAGTCCACAATATTTCAAGTTACACATAATATACCATAAGAATTCTAAGAGTTATATGTTGTATGTTACAGGTACTGTTTGATGAGTGTCCAGGGCTGTTACACTGATTTCCACATTGATTTTGGTGGCACCTCAGTCTGGTACCACATTCTGCACGGAGAGAAGGTCTTCTGGTTAATACCCCCCACACAGAGAAATGTAGAGATCTACACCAACTGGGTCCTGTCGGGGAAACAAGGAGACATTTTCTTAGCTGACCATGTCGAAGGCTGTCAGAGAATTGAGCTAAAACAGGGATATACTTTTATTATACCATCAGGTAATCATAAGGGAATGTGCTTTAATTAAAAAAGAAAAACAGTATACATTTAAAATTAAACCTGTTGAATTTGATAATAACATAGTTGAAAAAAGAAATCTCTCTTTCTTAAAATACTGTATAATGGGTAATTTTTACTGCTGTAAATTTTTACGAATTTCTGTTGAAATAGGGTGATTTTATTTTTTACGCGTTAAATTTTTACGAATTGAGCAAGTCCGTAAAAATTAAAATCATCAGAGGTGAAGTTCCTAATTAATGATTTAGCATTTTGAATGCGTTAGCATACATGTTTTAAATGTCTGGACAACCCGATGTAAAATAAAAACGAAATTGTTCCCGTGATATCGAGTGTTGATTCCTTAAGTGATATGTTTATTCATTTAAATACCTTTATATATCACATGCCCTGAATTTATTCCTTTGTCAATTAATACACATGTTCACGCATCATTATTGTTGCGCATCACATGCCCATCTTCATTTTAATGAAAACAAAGAGAGACAACTCAAGCCATAATGATTAAGTTGACAGAATAATACAGGGGACACGGATTACGATGCATTAGAATGTCGAAGTTTTTACTGGAAGCAAATAAAAAGAAGAAAGGGTCAAAATCTTGAAAAACGGATATACAGCTTACTCCACTTATTAGGGGTGGGACGATATACCGATACACAGATACATGTCGATATTTTTCTCTAAGATACGGTTTACGATACATGCATTCAAATATCGGTACGAAACGATACACGAACGACCTATCCAAAAATTGGAAATGAAAGTACATGTCCTTGGAAAATGGCGGCTTGTACGAAGCGAAGAGACGATGTGATTATTGAAAACACACTTTAGAACTAATAAGTCGTTGTTTAGGGGTAAAATGTTTTCACTTTTAAACAGCCTCGGAAGATTGGACAAGAAAAGTTCAGTATATAATGCGTGCTTTACACAGAAAGCATGGTTTCCAGAGCATTTGACATTATTCATTGTTAGTCCATCTCGTATTTTTTTTGTAATCTCAGCTTTGCTACAGACTTTCAGCAATTAATAAAAATGTAAATGTGATGTTTTTAAATAAATTTTAGTCAGTGTTTTCTGCTAAACTACACAACTATTTGTAAACAACTTCTCAAAAGTAATTTGGTAATAAATATGTACATGTATTTTTGTTTTTGTAAAATTTTAGTGAATGATATTGAGGAACTTCAAGTATTAATTTCAAAGCACACATGATTTGATATAGAATAATTTGTAGATTTAATGTCAAGGCAAAAAATGAAATAAAGTACTAATTCTTTTGAATAGTTTTTAGCTCACCTGAGCCGAAGGCTCAAGTGAGCTTTTCTGATCACATTTTGTCCGTCGTCCGTCCGTCCGTCCGTCTGTCTAGCTGTCTGTCTGTCTGTCCGTCTGTAAACTTTTCACATTTTCGACTTCTTCTCAAGAACCACTGGGCCAATTTTGACCAAACTTGCTACAAAGCATCCTTGGGTGAAGGGGAATTTAAATTGTTAAAATGAAGGGACATATCCCCTCGCAAGGGGAGATAATCAAGGAAAGACAAAAACAGGGTGGGGTCATTAAAAAATCTTCTTCTCAAGAACCACTGGGCCAGTAAAGCTGAAACTTATGTGGAAGCATCCTGGTATAGTGTAAATTCTAAATTGTTCACATCATGACCCCCGGGGGAAGGGCGGGGCCACAATGGGGAATCAAAGTTTTATATAGAAATATATAAGAAAAATCTTTGAAAATCTTCTTCTCAAGAACCACTGGGCCAGAAAAGCTGAAACTTATGTGGAAGCATCCTGGTATAGTGTAGATTCTAAATTGTTCACATCATGACCCCCGGGGGAAGGGCGGGGCCACAATTGGGTATCAAAGTTTTATATAGAAATATATAGGGAAAATTCTTTGGAAATCTTCTTCTCAAGAACCGCTGGCCAGAAAAGCTGAAACTTATGTGGAAGCATCCTGGTATAATGTAGATTCTAAATTGTTCAAATAATGACCCCCAGGGGAAGGGCGGGGCCACAATGGGGAATCAAAGTTTTATATAGAAATATCTAGGAAAAATCTTTGAAAATCTTCTTCTCAAGAACCACTGGGCAAGAAAAGCTGAAACTTATGTGGAAGCATCCTGATATAGTGTAGATTCTAAATTGTTCAAATCATGACCCCCGGGGGAAGGGCGGGGCCACAATTGGGTATCAAAGTTTTATATAGAAATATATAGGAAAAATCTTTGGAAATCTTCTTCTCAAGAACCGCTGGGCCAGAAAAGCTGAAACTTATGTGGAAGCATCCTGGTATAATGTAGATTCTAAATTGTTCAAATAATGACCCCCAGGGGAAGGGCGGGGCCACAATGGGGTATCAAAGTTTTACATAGAAATATATAGGAAAAATCTTTGAAAATCTTCTCCTCAAGAACCACTGGGCAAGAAAAGCTGAAACTTATGTGGAAGCATCCTGATATAGTGTAGATTCTAAATTGTTCAAATCATGACCCCCGGGGGAAGGGCGGGGCCACAATGGGGTATCAAAGTTTTACATAGAAATATATAGGAAAAATCTTTGAAAATCTTCTTCTCAAGAACCACTGGGCCAGAAAAGCTGAAACTTATGTGGAAGCATCCTGGTATAGTGTAGATTCTAAATTGTTCACATCATGACCCCCGGGGGAAGGGCAGGGCCACAATTGGGTATCAAAGTTTTATATAGAAATATATAGGAAAAATCTTTGGAAATCTTCTTCTCAAGAACCGCTGGGCCAGAAAAGCTGAAACTTATGTGGAAGCATCCTGGTATAATGTAGATTCTAAATTGTTCAAATAATGACCCCCAGGGGAAGGGCGGGGCCACAATGGGAAATCAAATTTTTAAATAGAAATATATAGGAAAAATCTTTGAAAATATTCTTATTAAGAACCACTGGGCAAGAAAAACAGAAACTTTATGTGGAAGCATCCTGATATAGTGTAGATTCTAAATTGTTCACATCATGACCCCCGGGGGAAGGGCGGGGCCACAATGGGGAATCAAATTTTTATGTAGAAATATATAGAAAAAATCTTTGAAAATCTTCTTCTCAAGAACCACTGGGCCAGAAAAAGTGAAGCTTATGTGGAAGCATTCTGGGGTAGTAAATTCTAAATTGTAGGAATCATGACCCCTGGGGGAAGGGCGGGGCCATTATAGGGAATTAAAGTTTTACATAGAAATATATAGGAAAAATCTTTGAAAATCTTCTCAGGAACCACTGGGCAAAAAAAGCTGAAACATATGTGCCCATGGAAGGATCATGGGGTAGTATAGATTTCAAAATGTCTAAATTATGATCAGTGGGGTAGGGTGGGGATGCATTATGTATAACAAGGGGGAAATCCGGTAAAGAACAGAATGGTCAAAGCTTCTCAGGTGAGCGATGTGGCCCATGGGCCTCTTGTATAATTTATCATGTTGATTTAATGACAAGACAAGAAATGAAAAAAAATACTAATTTTTAAAAATAGTTTTATAATAATCAAAATATCGAGATACGTATCGTATCGTGCCATTATATCGAGATACGTATCGTATCGTAAGATCTGTGTATCGTCCCACCCCTACCACTTATATTGAACTTGCTTATTTTGAAATTCCGCTTATTTTGAAATGAAAATAAATCCCCAATTTTTGCCTCTTATCTTTTTTTGCATTAAAATAACGGTTATATTGAAATCGGCTATATTGAAATTTCGCTTATATTGAAGCCACTGATCGGTCCCCACAAGTGATAATGAGTTGTTTTCATAACAGTTATATTGAAGTACTTCCTGGCGGCTGTCGTTACAGTTGGGACAGAAATTATGCCTGACTGACAAGTTGATATAAAAAGGTGTGAATAATTAAGTTTTCACCTTTTGTGTTTTTATACTTTTATTATTTTATTTTTAATAAAATTATTCACTGTTAAATTCTTTGTTTCCACGTATACAATATTGAGATATTGAGGCTAAACGTAATGTAGTAACCCTCACATATCTAGAAAAAAAACCTTTACTTTGAAATTAAATGCGTACTGTGAATGGCTATTGATAAGCCTAAATTTGAAATAGCTGAGGGATTAACTCGGGTACACTTACGATTAAATACAAGCAGTGTTCGACAGTACTCAACCTTTTAAGTCCGGTAATTTTTTTCCAAACATTAATACTAGTAAATGCGAACGTGGAATAATAATGAGGTTGACGATTGTCTTTTCAATGTAACAGAAAGAAATAATTTTATTTAAACTTTCAAGGACTAATATTCTATTTAATCTGTTTACTGTTATACATAAACGATGACAAAATTAATTTATTCGGGTTTTGTTCTTCTTTATTTTATATCGGATTTGAACTTATAAAATGGCGGCTTCACGATTCGGCTTATATTGAATTACGGATATATTGAAATAATTTGCATGGTCCCCTGAATTTCAATATATCCGGAGTATGCTGTAATTTGAAGACTTCAGTCTGAAATAATTAAGCCATTATCAGAAATTATGCATCCCGTAAGAGGAACCAGGTAATTGACCGTGTTTGTATAATTTGTGCATTAATTAAGAAATACTTGTTTGATCCTAATCGATATTCAATTAAAAAGTTCCCCAAAATACCAACGAGTGTCATAACTAATTCTATAGCCTCCAGATACTTAGCTAAATGGCAATGATAGCATTGAAATACTCTCCTTCAAAATTTAGGCGAGGCGTTTTTTACTTCTGTGAAATTTTACGCGTTTAAATTTTACGGATTTATAAAACTCGTAAAAAGTAGTAAAAATTAGCAGCACGTAAAAAATACCCGTTATACAGTAATTTTTTTTTGTATGAAAATTTTCATTTATAGATTTATACGCCTACATTTTGTATGAATATGTTGAAGAAATTCTACATGTATAAAACCGACTTTTCTCTGTACTCACCAACAAATATTTAAGAAAAGAGAGCAGGTATAAACATCTGTAAATGAAAGTTTCGCAAAGCTACATTATATTTGATTCATAGGGTGGATACATGCAGTTTTTACCCCTAAAGACTCCCTGGTATTTGGAGGAAATTTTCTGCATAGTTATAATATAGAAAATCAACTCCGAGTCTCAGAAGTAGAGGACAGAACTCGAGTGAGTATAATTAATTATTGAAAAAAGGTTAATATTGATCACTTCAAAAATTTGTAATGCTGGCTTATTTTCATGTGATTTAAAAAAGATGCATTTAATTTTAGCTCACCTGAGCCGAAGGCTCAAGTGAGCTTTTCTGATCAAAATTTGTCCGTTGTCTGTCGTTGTCGTTGTCGTTGTTGTCGTTGTTGTAGTCGTAAACTTTTCACATTTTCATCTTCTTCTCAAGAACCACTGGGCCAATTTCAACCAAACTTGGCACAAAGTATTCTTGGGTAAATGGGATTCAAGTTTGTTCAAATGAAGGGCCACGCCCTTTCCCAAGGGGAGATAATCATGAATTTGTTAAAAATTAATAGCATTTTTAAAAAATCTTCTTCTCCAGAACCACTGGGCCAGGAAAGATGAAACTCATGTGGAAGCATCCTCAGGTAGTGTAGATTCAAGTTTGTTCAAATCATGACCCCCGGGGCAAGGGTGGGGCCAAAATGGCCGACCCAAGTTTTACATAGGAATATATAGGAAAAATCTTTAAAAATCTTCTTCTCCAGAACCACTGGGCTAGGAAAGATGAAACTCATGTGGAAGCATCCTCAGGTAGTGTAGATTCAAGTTTGTTCAAATCATGACCCCTGGGGCAAGGGTGGGGCCAAAATGGCCGACCCAAGTTTTACAAAGGAATATATAGGAAAAATCTTTAAAAATCTTCTTCTACAGAACCACTGGGCCAGGAAAGATGAAACTCATGTGAAAGCATCCTTAGGTAGTGTAGATTCAAGTTTGTTCAAATCATGACCCCCGGGGCAAAGATGGGGCCAAAATGGCCGACCCTAGTTTTACATAGGAATATATAAGAAAAATATTTAAAAATCTTCTTCTCAAGAACCACTAGGACAGGAAAGATAAAACTCATGTGGAATCATCTTCAGGTAGTGTAGATTCAAGTTTGTTCAAATCATGACCCCTGGGGCAAGGGTGGGGCCAAAATGGCCGACCCAAGTTTTTCATAGGAATATATAAGAAAAATCTTTAAAAATCTTCTTCTCCAGAACCACTGGGTCAGGAAAGATGAAACTCATGTGGAATCATCCTCAGGTAGTGTAGATTCAAGTTTGTTCAAATCATGACCCCCGGCCCTGGGGATAGGGTGGGGCCAAAATGGCCGACCCAAGTTTTACGTAGGAATATACAGGAAAAATCTTTAAAAATCTTCTTCTCCAGAACCACTGGGCCAGGAAAGATGAAACTCATGTGGAATCATCCTCAGGTAGTGTAGATTCAAGTTTGTTCAAATCATGACCCCTGGGGCAAGGATGGGGCCAAAATGGCCGACCAACGTTTTACATAGGAATATATAAGAAAAATCTTTAAAATCTTCTTCTCCAGAACCACTGGGCCAGGAAAGATGAAACTCATGTGGAATCATCCTCAGGTAGTGTAGATTCAAGTTTGTTCAAATCATGACCCCCGGGGCAAGGATGGGGCCAAAATGGCTGACCCAAGTTTTACATAGGAAAATATAGGAAATATTTTTAAAAATCCTTCTCAATTACCACTGGGCCAGGAAAGATGAAACTCATGTGGAATCATCCTCAGGTAGTGTAGATTCAAGTTTTTTCAAATCATGACCCCTGGCCCTGGGGATAGGGTGGGGCCAAAATGGCCGACCCAAGTTTTACATACGGATATATAGGGAAACCTTTTAATAGCCATTCTCTGTAACCACTTAAACTTCGTTGCCACGCATGGTCACCGATTTTGATGAAACTTCACCCATGCTTAGTACTTGACACCAGAAACAAATATCAAACAAAATTTCGTTGCTAAGTGTCTCGGTTGCTATGGCAACAGCCGGGAAAGTTTGAAAAATTGAGATTTTCAGCCACTTTAAATCCTGACTGTGGCTTAATAAAAACTAGAAAAAGCAAACAAACCATTCTAACAAAAACATGACACCTTGATGTCACTTATACTGTGAAGAAACTGTTTAGAATATATCTCTAAGTAAGTGGTAACCAAGGGTACATTTGGAATACATTTAAAATGCTGAAATATGCTGAAAAACACTCCATATTCACTAATGGTAGGTGTTACATGCTAAAACTCAATCATTAACTTAAAAAAAACAATGAAAATGTTTGACCTTAAGTATATAAGTATAAGCAATATTATTCTATAAATAACTTTTATGGTTGCCATGGTAACACAGTGTTACCATGCAAAACCAGTAACTAAGATTGGGTTAATGCTACTGTCTTGAGGAAAAACATGAAAATTCAAGACTGGCAAATATGCATCCTTAGGACCTTGCAACACCAAAACCATAAGAAAAATTGGGTATAATTGCTACTTTGTAGTGTTACCATGGAAACAAAGTACTAGTGCTTAAAAGTGAATTTTTTTCCGCTGCATTAAGAATTAAATTGCCATTTAATCAAGAAACAAATTAAAGAGCTCAACTACAATAGTCTCATCTGTTAGAACTGAAGTTAAATATCATATATTGATAAAATTTGATGAATAAAACAACACTGTTGCTATGGTTACCAAGAAGGGAAAATGTTCGATTTTTTTAACTTTATATCAATATTAAATCCTGTGTGCCAACTTCTTGCATCCACTTAGAGATTGGATGATAGTCAAAATTAAAAGTCAAGTTAGCTGTTAATAAATATCAATCAAAAAGGTTTTGGGAATCTTCATTTAAGGGTACGTATCCAAGGAAACAAAAAATTTTTCAGGTATTTAAGCATATATTTTCTGCTTATTTCCATAGCAACGCTCTATTTAAAGAATCTAATCTGAATTTTTTGAAATGGGAAAATTTTAAGCACACCAACATCTTATAAAATTGATCATTAGTTATGAGGAAATGTGCTTTTTTTAAAAGATAAGATCATATTTAAACATACATAGTGTTACTTTGAAGGCTCTCTGGGGCATAAAAACCTTGGCAACCATTGCCAACCAAAATGAAATATCATATTTTTTCTTGGAATGTTTTTCAAGGCTCTTTTTTCTATTATTTGATCACATTTTATTGTATAATTGCTTTTTATTTTTACGAGTATAACTTTATAAAATTCAATGAATATTTTTTTTACTTTTGAATATTTTGTTACCATAGTAACGTATGTAATAGTTAATTTACCAAACATGTTTATTATGCATTTGAGACATCTGAACTTCAACTTTTGGAAACAGTCATGAACAATTGTTTGCTTTGTCGCAAATGTTAACTAAGGGGCTCTAAACATGTTAAAAAATGCCATTTTTCGAACTTTAAGACATGTTGCCATGGTAACTATAAAACATAGCAACCAATTTTTGCCTGATTTCAGTTCAGGGTATCAATGCCTTTTATCATAGAGAGTTTGGAGAAATTCTGAGACTATGCGTGCCACAGCTCCTATATAAAATTTCAAATCATTACAGAGAATGGCTCTTAAAATCTTCTTTTCAAGTACTTCAAAGCTATGATTAGTGATACCCGGGGTATTTATATGGAATCATCCTCAGGTAGTGTAGATTCTAGTTTGTTCAAATGATGAACGCCTGGAAAGGGGGGGGGGGGAGTAAATTCAAGCCCGATGTGCTCAGGTGAGCGCTGTGGCCCCTGGGCCTCTTGTTCTTTTTGGTACATGTACTGTGAATATTAAGATTATATCTTGATTAAATACTTGTAAATTTAGTTAATTTTGCATGTTGATGAATTTTAATACTTCAGAAAATGTTTGAAGTAAAATAGTTTTTAGGAAGAAACTTCATTAGAAATACATGTATTATATGGATTTTTTTAAGGTGCCACAAAAGTTTCGCTACCCTTTCTATACAGAGATAGCATGGTACGTATTGGCAAGATACGTAACCTGCATCACTGGAAAACAGTGTCTGGAGATGCCACCCGAGGACAAAGAAAACGAGGACAAAAGAGAGTTTTCTCCCTTCCTACAAGACGAATGCTCACAGGACGGTGATAACAGTGTTCAAAGCCAGCGGCCAGCTACCCCCAAGCTGTCTAAGAGTGTGACCATCGAACTCACCCGAATAGACCAGTCCTCCCCAAAACATCGGTCAGTTAGTGATGAGGAAAACGTCACCCCCCAGTGTGTGAGGTCTCCTCGAAAATCCTCTTCGGACAGCTGTAGCTCAGCTGACACGGAAATATACGATAAATCCGAGGACTTTCTGGGATCATGTGCCAATAGTGAGTTTCAGGAAAAACAAATGGGAGCAAAACAAACTGTTCAAAAAGGGAAAATCAAGACAAGTGATTCGGGATATAAGATGGTTCACAGTCCGTCACTGAGGCCCAGCAAGAGGGAAAATAAAACTTATTATTTGACAAAGTGGGAATTAAATGGACTCTCGCAGTTAATTCAGTGGATAGAAGAGTTGCCTTCTGCCAAGAAAGGTTATCCTAAGGATGTGCTTGATCCAGAGATGTTGTTAAATGATGCAAAGGTAATTAACAGCAGATCTAGGGAAAGGACTTCATTGATGTAGAAAATCAGAAAGGGGGGGGGGGGCAAAACACAAAAATGTCTTACTTGATACATGTAGTTAATGTTTGAATTTTGTCAATCAGGCATATACAGCATTTTAGAAAGTATATTTTTAGGAGCATTGTGTCAAAATTAAACGTCATACCCTTTTCTTACACATTGGACTTGCTGAACACATTTCTCAAGCACTTTTGATTTTATTTATTTCAGCAATTACTTGAAGATCATGCAGATGATGATCAGAGTTTAGCATGTAATGGAGAACCTATTCTAGTTTGGCCAGTCTCAAAAAAGGTCAATTTATTTAAAAGTCTACTTTCATTTTCAAAAAACAGCCATAAAATATAATCTGCATGAAATTGACATTTATTGTATCTTTGGCCATTTAACTAACTGATTATCCATAATAATTTACAGCCCCCCAAACCAAAAGTCTATAAAACCGGAACAGGGCATATGAAGGTATTAAAGACACAGCAATCCAAAGGAAGTTCTAGCACGTGCATCAGGCGACGAAGGACGCGCTGTAAGAAGTGTGAACCATGCACGAGAACAGACTGTGGAGAGTGTAACTTCTGTAAGGACATGAAGAAATACGGGGGCCCAGGACGGATGAAGCAGTCATGCAAGAGCAGGCAGTGTTTGGCAGTAAGTGTGTCAAAATACTAACGGAATTGATGGAAATTACATTATCCTTAGTAAGCATTATGTAGTTTTGTAGTATGTTATCAGTATGCAATTTTTAAAAAAATGGATGAACATGAAATTCTGTGACCGTTGGGAAGACTTTTGTATGACATCTTAAATATCTAGCACTATCCAGAAATATATTGCCACTTTGCATACAGTGTATTTTTATCTTCTTCATTTTCAGCCTGTAATCCCAAACGCTGCAGTCTGTATGATATGTGGAAAAGATGACCGAGTGAAATCAGCAGAAAACCCTGAAGAGATGGTTACCACTCTCATGGAATGCTGTATTTGCTGGGAAATCAACCATCCAGAGTGCCTCCGCAAAAAGCTTGAAAATTTAGAGAGCGAGGGTGTAATTAATGAGGATTCCCCAAACAGCTGGGAATGTCCAAAATGTTGTCAAGATGGCAAACAAGGTCTGCTCAAGGTGAGAAGTTAACTAGGATTCATAAATCAGTTGTGATTGACATTTGTTTTTCAGAATATTCACAATTTAGAAAATATTTGTGTGAAATAAGCTACCGTAATTGGGGGAATACAATACGCACTTTTTTCCTAAAATAAATTTCTGTGAGAAAGGGATGCGTATTTTACATCACAATGGGATTTTGACAAGTTTTTCTTTCAGGTGAAACACGGCTATCATACGTACATACCGTAGTATTACCTAAAGACATATGCAATTTCTTTTGTTAATTGCCATATTTTAAACTTCGGAAAGTTATTGTTGGAAGGTATGCTTCTTAAAAATGTCACTTTCATAATCTTTTTATGCCCAAATAACATGAAAAAGTAAGTTGAAAGTAATTTGAGCTGCATGCTGATTGTCTCCGAGGAGGCCGCCATTACCGATGTTATTTTTAGACGTTCACTCATAGCTATGTCACGTGCTTCCGGAATGATAGTGCACATGCACCTTATCTGCCAGACAAAGTAATAAATCATTTTTTAATGAAATACAATAAAATAAATCTTAATTTTAGGTTTAAAATAACTCAGTGATTATCTGCAACAATATTAACACCCCTCCATACGTCCCAATGAAAGGAAGCCAATGTTGTGACACACGTGCGCTGGTCAAATGATAATTACCTATCAACACCCCTCGGGGCAATTAATTGTCTACCGACTCCAAAGCAATGTTTTTTACAGTTAGAGCACTGATTATTTACTGCCATGTTAATTGCTGTGATTATTTTCTTTGTTAAAAATTGGGGGTCGGTTTATGACCTTTCGTATGTGTGAGCGGTACCGTGTGGGCATGGTGAGCATCTGTTGATTATGGCACTTTAAACAATTAAACACTTGTTAAATGTAATTTTACCTTATCTTATACTTATCGGCCTCTTGTTTAAATAATTGAGAGTTGAGAAATGAAATATAAATTATGCTAAAACTTTTAATAAAAGTGGTATCATTTAGAAAATAAGATATCCGCGAAGATTCAAAAGAGGAAAATCGTAGTCTTCTTAAAGAAATAAATACTTTGATGTTCCAATTTCGTTTCCTGTTAAAATATTGTAAGATAATTTTAAGCATGAATTATCTAGAACCAAAATTAAATATGACAACTGATAAAACTTTCGACAATATCTCTTGCTTTGTTGAAATGAAATTATTTCATTTAAGAATATGGCGACGCATAATTTCAAAATCACCGTAACTATTCTTTAAAAAAATCTGTTAATACTTTTACGCAACATTATCTTGTGCTTTGTTGAAATAAAGGAGTAAATAATTTTCTCCAGATTGCCGCGATACGGAATGAGGATTAAGAGAAAGTTATAAAGTGTGTATTTTAAAAAAAGTGTGTTCAGTAAATTTTTGACACCTAATCCTCGTTTTCGTAACAAATTACCGTGATTTTCATAGTTCAGAACATCGCTTGGTAAATTTTTCTGTTGCGTATAATACATCCGAACTGCGTTTTTTTCCCCAGTTTCAGACTCAAAAAGGGGGGTGCATATTTTACATCAATGCGTATTATACCCGGCCAAATACGGTAATATTTAAATAATATCCTTCTTTATATATTCTGTTTATAGGGAAGGTTTACACGGATAAAAAGGGAGGATAATCTATACAGTCCCAGGGCAGGGAGCCCAGCATCTTCATACGATTCCACCGCAGAAGTCAAATCCGAGTCAGAGGCAGAGGGCAAGAGGGTGGTCATGAAACAGCAAAAAGAATACACGGTATGTTGTTTATTTTACAAAGTTAAAACCTGCTTAATACCTACCTTTAAAGATATGCACCATAAGATAATGATTTACAGTATATTAAAGGGTTATATTTTTCCCGTTTCAAACTTGCAAATGATTTCTTCACCCATTTTAAATTCCCCCAATTACAAGGAAAAGTGGTTGAACATGAAATTTCCCTGTACAGTAAAACTCGTTTAGTACGAAAATGGATATTGCGAATTCACGGATATAACGAATTATCTTGGATCCCCAACTATATATATTGAACGAATTCCTTATACGGATATATCGAATTACGGATATAACAAAGTAATAAATTTCAGAGGTCCCAGTTATTTCGTTATTACCGAGTTTTACTGTATGCAGTATTTCGTAAATCTTTATTTCTACATCTGAATCTTACATAATCATTTGACATTTATGTTGTCCATTCTGATTACTGTGGAATGATTATTGTTACAAAAATACCTTTGAAATAATGTCCCCAAACACAGGTGAAATTTTGATTATTCACAACCATTGGCACTCCAAATGATTTCCACCCCCCAACCCCACAAATTAAAATGATTTTACAGTAAAAAAAATTACATAAAAAATATTCATAATTATCAAATTTCATATCCTTCAGAAAAACAAATCACAAAGACCTGGGTGAAAGTGACCTTTGGAATTATTATTGATTTTTTTTATATCTGAATAATTGGTCTAAGTTGTAGAACTCCTACTGAGTTGCGTAGATTTTATTTCAGCAGCATGTGGACACTGAGGAAGATTCCTTGACAGAAACGGAGATCAGTGAAGACGTCACGCTGGATGTTTCTCCTCCTCCAAGTCAGTTGACAGAAGTTGTTCCCAACACATCCCCTGTACCAACAGTGAAAAAGGAGAAGAAGTCCATCTTACAACCGTCTCTGAAAACCAAAATCTCACCCAAGTCACCCAAAAAGTTTGGCATCAAGAGGAAACCAGGCAGACCAGCAGGCTCAAGTAATCCACCAAAAAAGGTTAGTGGAATCTTGTAAGAGTTACAACCCCCTCCTGTACCCACCCTACTTCTCCTTCCTCCTCCCCTTCCCTTTTTGCAATGGAAAGCATTGTGTATATGTGTATGAACTTGGATTGTCAAATTATGTGAGTTTAATCAACAACATCATATTGTGTTTACCCTTAAGTTAATCAGATGACCAGTTACTGTTGTTTCTTTTATGTTTAAAGTTTTTTTTTCTGATTAATCAATTTCCGTTCATTTTCTTTTAGTATATAACGTTAAAACTGAATTTTCTTTTTAATTTTTTGCGAAAGTTTTAATTTAATCAATGAGTGCTTTTCATTTCAGAGACCATCATGGGGCAGTTTGCCAGAGAAAAGTCCAAAAAAGATTAAAGAGACAGTAATAACCAGGTCAGGCCGTAAGGTCAAAAGGTCACCGACACTGTCTGACGAAAATATGGAGTCTGAGTTCCCAAAGAAAAGACCGAGACGTGAGGTAGTTATACCACGGAGATATCTCGATTAGCTCAGCGTTGGTGATATCTCAATTAGTTCAGCGTCAGTGATATCTCGTTAAGTTCAGCCTCAGTGGTCTGGGCAAATATGACTACTGCAAAAAATTTGATTGTAACAAGAAAATTCAAGATTTTAAAATGAAATTTCCTGGTGATGAAACTTTCAATGATTTTAGGTGCAAACATTTAATTGAAAATTCATTATGAAATTCATCATGAAATCAAATTTGAAGATCAAAATTCAATGTCATTTTGTTATCTTTCTGAATCAACTTATAGGTTTAATTCTTTATGGTGAATAGTGTTAGCAAAAATGTTGTTGTTGGGTTTTTCGTCCCTTTAGTATTCAAATGTGCATGTGTTCTTTTTTCTTGTTAATTGTACTTAATTTTTTAGATTGTCAATGTTATATCTAGAGACATCTACACAAACATACAAATTCACTATACAGTTGAAAAATCTATGTTGCCTTTTATATACTGTAGTTTTTCTACAAGTTTTTGGAAATTTCATATATGTATCAAGGTTCTTCTTGCCAATTAACAGATAAGTCAAGATCTTAGTGGGTTTATCTATCATTTTGCATGCAAGACATTGACATAAATAGTATTCAACTTACATCTTGCAAATGGTGAAGCATTTCCTGTTAACATGTGTATATACACATTTTATATATCAACAAACCATTGCTCAATTTAAATATGTAAGATACTTGTAGTTTGTTCCTTTAAGCCCATATTATGTACATTTGATCACTCGATGTTTGTTTTATAATGCTCATTATGGAATCGAATTTGTAATAATATTGGAAATTCCAACATAGCTAAATAAGTCATTCTTACATCAGCTTATGCTTACAGATTAAATATTGGTCACAATTTCCTATAAGAACTGGTAAAAATAATTTTATCTGGATATGGGATCAGCAAGATACTTGAATTTCCTTGATGAAATTCTTCTGACATGAAACAAATTTTAGTTTACATGTACATAGCAAACAAAATTAAATTCAAATACTAGTATTAACAGTTTTAACATTTACATTAAGTTTATCAGAATAGTTCTATATCTAGTAATCTATCAAAAACAGGATTATGAAAAATTACTTTTAAAATACTTCTCACAACCTGACTTTTATTTTTTACTAAAATGCAAAAAATACATATAGGATGTAATTTCTGCACTTCCCTTTTCTTTTATAAAGCAAGTTAATTCAAAGCATTATTTCTATTTTTACTGTTATGCCTACTTTTTCATGCTTTCATTTATGGAAGAGTTCTTGAAATGGGAAATATTTAAGTTTGTCTCTCGTTTCTCAAATATGTAATTTTTATGAATAAATTGTAGTTTGTATGAAATATCTGTTGATCTTTTAGAAATGTTAATAAATTTGATATGTTGGACTCTTTTCTTGACTGTCTTGTGTATGGTTCAGCATGGTGTGCCTATATAATGACTGAAGTCCTTGTCCTTCCAGGGCTTTGCATCCAGACCAGATGACCAAGCTGAAACGGAGGACAAAGTCATGGAAAGTCAAGGTCTTCTGTCATCCACGGAGTGTAAAAATGAGGCCACAGAGTACAGCTTCTCTTCAGAAGAAGTGGAACCCTTTAAGTTTTTTCCAACAAAATTAAAAAAGGTTAGTGGTGATAAACAGAAAGTGGAATCGAAAAGGGGACTGAAGCAAACACAAGGAATAAAACGCAAGTACGGATCAACGAAAAAAGTGAAGAAAGTGGAAAATGTTCATAAACAAAGTACTAAGGGTACTGAAATGAAGAGTGGTGGTGCTAGTGAAAGTGTGCCAGGGAAAGTAACAGAGGTGGTGCAGAGGAAGTTTGTGGTTAGGCCCACAGCTCCACCACCTCCTCCAGATTGTGTGGAACTTGAAAGCGGGGGCCACCACCCTCTGGAGAGAGTTCACTGGACCAAGATTTTCTCATTTTTGCCTTACCCAGACCTGGCCAGGTGTCTGTCTGTGAATAAAGCGTTTTACAGGTGGGGAATGAATCACGAGCTGTGGCCATGTATTGACTTGAGCAAAAGGAGAATATGCCAGCCACATTTGATAGGTATTGTGAAACGTCAACCAAATGGGCTGAAATTGAACAATGTGGTAATGACACAGCAGCAGTTATCTTGGCTTCTGGCACGAATCCCTCTGTTAAAGAATCTGTCCATGTCCTCTTGTTCATGGGCAACGGTCAGTGCTCTCTGTTTTTCCTCATGTCCGCTGTTGACAGCATTGAATTTGAACTGGATGCTGGGACTGGACCATGTTCATTTCAAGGACCTCGTAACTCCACCCAGTGACCTACGACCTGGGATGAATGACGTTAGTCGACTTCATTTGCTGACCAGTTTACACATCGCTGGAACTGAAATTGAGGACGAGTCACTGCAGCTTATTCCGCAGTATCTGACCAAACTGAAGGAACTTGACATCAGTTATTGTCCAAGAATTACCAACGAAGGAATCAGAAAGCTACTGGAGACCAATAATGCAGTGCTCACACAGTCTCTGCAAGTGATAGACATTTCTGGCTCTCGTGTGTTAACAAGTGTGGCACTGGACTATCTGGTGAAGTGTATCAATCTGTCTGTCGTGAAAATTCACAAGTGTTCAAATATTACTGCCATGTCTGTGCAAAAATTTCCCCGTAAGTCGGTCAGATTTTTGAAGTAAGTTGTACATGATGTCATTTTTTGGAGGGGTAATACATTGAGATACCCATTAATATTCAGTGATCTCCAAAACTTTAAAACTTTACGATTTCAGACTTTCATTTTCATTAATAGAATGACAGTTATCATTCTCTAAATTGTCAAACGCACATTATTATTTAGTGGAGCATACACTGAAAGTATCGCAATCGATTTGTGTTGATGTTTACGTTAAAATAGTCTACATCTGATGACATTTTAGTTGAGTTATGAAATCAAATGCCATAACATAACAAATTATCTTGTTTACACCTCAAAAGAAGAGCTTATTTAGACAAATTAGAGACTTATTTGTTGCATCAAATATAGATCATGCAAAATTCATTCTACATTTCCATGCCCACTCATCAAAGAGTATATCCAATATATGTTTAACAAAGTTTTCATCTATTACATAAGCATCTTGACCACTTTCTGCTTTGTGTACAATATTGGATGACCAGAGAAAGAGATCGAAATACATTATGTTGATTATCAGATGGAGAACATCTTTATAATTTTTTTCATGTAAAAATTATGTAATGTTACTTAATTTTTTCCCCCATCTGAAAGGGATTCAGTCATAAAAATGTGATAAACTGCCGAATCTTCGTGATTTTTTCTTTATTTACAGGTAAAAGCTAACCAGAGAGTATACACGTTTATTATTTATATTCCTGAATAGGTGTTCATATAGGACCATTTTATTGCTCTCTCTTTTTCATTGTGTACATTAATTTTCAGGGTTTGTTAAGCCAGTTTCATTGTGCTGAACCATTGATTTCTGTTAAACAATAAAATGATATTTGTTTAATTGATCACAGATGATCTTGTTTATTTTCATAATAAATATGGATTTAAAAAAATGTGTTATTATTTCCTAATTGTCTTGTCTATTGGTAATGACTAAGATGTTTTTGAATTTAGCTCTTTACTGATATATTTTGTTCAACTATGAAATAAAATTTTTGCAATGAAACTTATGGTGATGACTCTAACTCCAGAAATATTCCTAATAATTTTAGTGGTTCAAAGGGTAAAAGATAAAGGTTGTAAAGACATGGTTTTTACATGTACAATGTAGATTCTCTTCACTACTACCTGTAACAGTACAACATGACCCCTTCTAGTTTTGAGATTTAAGGAAGCTCTAAACACTGCACATTAAAGAGCTCTACTCAGATTGTAATTTTTGCAGTTAGAGTGATCTGCCCTTAGAATTAAGATCTAAAAAAATGTTACTTACAGTTAATTACACGATTTGTAATGGATTAAAATATTTTTAGTATTATATAAGACCAAGAATAAGTACAGTAAAACTTGTTTTGTATGAACACGGATATTGCGAATTTATCTCGGATCCCAAGCAATATGAATTTAACGAAATCCTTATTCGGATGTAACGAATTACAGATATAGCAGAGTAATTTCACAGGTCCCAGCGATTTCGTTATAACCGAGTTTTACTGTAATGGAATTCATTATTTTCATAATTTTCCCAGCGTAAGTAAACAGCAGTGATTTCTGATCAAAATAGTCCATTGTCTTTGAACATTTTTCCTGCAGAAATAAGGCAGGTACTCTGTGTTATAAATGAATGAAAAAGTCTCAATATGGACACCTTTATATAGTTTTCTCCAAGTCCAAAAAGCACTTTATGTTAGTGATAAGAGCTTCCTTAAAGGTTAATTTAAGGGGTCAAAGGTCAAGGTCATTGAATAAAAATCAATGGAAAGGGAGAATTAATTCAAAGCAAAGTCTTCTATTCCATTTTGCAAGAATTTTATTGCATTGAATACATTGCAATAATATAAATTCATAACAATGCTCTGCAAGCATGTCAAGTCAAATATAATGTACAGAATTATACATGTTTATCATGTAGCTACAAACTAACCACCATAACTTTGCCTTTGTAATGCTCTGCCATTAAGAAGACAATCTTATAACGAGGCAAGAGTATAAAATCACAAGAAAACTACAGTATATGTATAATATTTTTCTCGCACCTTAAGAAAATTTCAAGGAAATGTATGAGAAGTGCAGCATTATATATGACATACCAACTTAAAAAAAAAAGAAGAAGCAAACATGAAATTAAAAGCAAACATGTTTTGCTGCAACACATGATTTTTTTCTTAAATTTGGTAAAAAGCTGGAAAAGTGACTGCGCAAAAAATGTGAATCAAATGCTGACTAGAACTCTTAGAACCATTAACTGATAAAGAATTAGATATACTGAATACAATTACATGATATGCACTTTTTATCTTTCTCATAAATTCATATATTCTGCAAAAAAAAATGAAATGTAAGTACAGTGTACATAAATATAAATATGAAGTTCATGTTGGAAAAAATATTCCATGACTTTATCACAAACTGAGATTCAATGGCAGTAAAAAAAACTTAATTATCACATAAAATGAGTTTTTCAATAAAAAAGAAAAAAAAAATTATACAAATTAAGTAATGAGATTCTCTGAGATTTTGATCATTTCACGCATATAATACATTTGTAAAAAGCACCTAATTACTACAAAGCAATATTATACTTAGTTTCTAGCTTGATGTTAAATACGAAAACTCTCCAATGTTCCGTCAATGTGAAGCATTCTCAGATAGACATCTGTCCCGATTCCTTGCATGGTCTGCATGCTTAGACTTCCTCCTAAATACTCGGCATAGGTTCTGGAGGAGGGCAGTCCAAATCCATAGCTACAAAACAATGATTCAATTATGGTACTGTACATGTAGATATACATTTTTTTCTACATGGTTTTAATTTCTGCTATGTACTTGGTCAAAGTAGTGAAACTGCCCCAGAGCCATTTGAATATTCATTAAAATGTTTATTCTAACTACTCCAAACATCTGAGGAGTGAATCATTGGATGAAAATTGGATATTGGATAAGCAAGTCTGAGAAAGGGATAATGTTCAACTCTTAGATACATCAACTACAAGTTTGATCCAGGTACAGTCATTACATTCAAATACTAGTACTAAGTACATACTAATTTATTTAGGAATTCATTCAGGATTTTATTTGGTACTCACCCATGCATCCTGCCAGGTACTTCCCCTCCCCTGTTAGAAGGGTTGGAAATCTCATCAAACAGCCCGACCTGTGGTTCAGGGTCAACAACATTGTTGTTATGGTTGCCTGAGGTGGTAAAGTTGTAGTTGTGCACCCTCTCTACGATGTTGTGAGGGATTCCTCCCCCTCTGTCTGACACTCTGAAAACAAGGAGATACTTGGAGAATCATTAAATCAAAATCCTAAAATTTTTACCAAGTGATATCTGTACTGGAACCTTCAGTTTGAATACAGATCAGCTTGGTATACGAACTGGTGCCTTCAAAAGCATCAATCTAATTATTTAGCTAAAATATATGGCTGGGTGGGAAATTGAACCCAGAACCCGTCTCATTAATCTGGTACTCAAACAACAGAGCTTCTCGGGCCAATACTAATATGGCCCAAACTATTGCTGCAGTGCCTCATCCTTAAATTGTCTTTGCCTTCAAAGACACAACCCTCAAGTTCATATATTTGTCCCTATCAGGACTTTCATCTGCAAGTCCAAGAGTGGCCAGCAGCACTGAATTATGTATCAGGAAAGGATGTATGGCTAGACTGGGAATCGAACCCAAGACTTCTGCATCCCATCAGATGCTCTAACTACTGAGCTACCCATGTCATTTTCCAGGACCCAAACTGTTAAAAATGTCTATGCATGGTGACCATCAGAGATATGATTCCAAAGGTCAAGCCAATTACCGGTAAAATGTTGTGGAATTTCCATGTCTGGTCTTAATTACATAATTTTATTTACAAATGATGATTGTGTTCTGCTCTTTCCATTATCGCCTTTCCCCCTATTTGCTCTCGGCTAAGAAATATTTTTCGTCGGTACATTGTTTGTAGTTTTCATTTTGATAAATTCAAATGTCATCTAACTTAATAACTTAATTTAACTTAAAAGAAAAACAATCAATTTTCAAATAGGGAACAATAAATATTTTCAGGCAGCGTAAGGATATCAAACCTTAATTAAGTAAATTTAATATCTATTTGATTATCATGCGCAATAAATTAAATTGCACCTTATCTAATGGGGTCTACTTAAAATCACATCTCACATGCATTCATAACATGATAATTCAATAATGTGTTGTTTAAACATGGAGGTTATCCAATAGTTTGTATTGTGTCTGAAATCTGATCTGCAGAGAGTCAGTGATTCTTTTGTCACCATTGTCTCCGAACAAATCAACACCAGCTGAAAAAACATAATTGAGATGTTTTATGATCAATAGAGCAGCTCATGTATATTCCATTCTGGCACAGGAAAATTTGAACAACTGTAAAAAAAAATTTAAAAATCACTGTGCACTGTAAGTCACCCCCTTTTTAAAAATCAAATGATAAAACACATGGCTGATATGGACAAAGACATTATTTCTATAAAATGGTACGTATTTTTACTGGGAAGTACGAAATCAATATATCAACAAGGTATTTCACTAACTTTCCTTTTTTTTTTCTTTTTTTTTTTTTCAACCCGTAGAATTTCTAATGTTTGCTTTAAGAAAACAGCATTTGATGTTTTGAGTAAACATTTAAAGAATTTTATCTGATAATCATAGCCTTCAATTGAAAGGAAATGTGCCACCAAATTCTAACACCAAAAAACAGTAAGTGGTACCTAGCGGTGTTGTTGCCAATTTATTTAAATTAAGGAATAGAAACGGTACAGTCTGCTGCTATACTCTGTGGGGGGAACACTTCAATACAGAAGATTGAATGTGTCTAAAGTACGCTAAGAAAACTTGGATATAAGCCTCACTTTGTATGCTTTATGTTCAGTGTTAATTTCTTTTGGGGAAAAAAGGTAATCATTTAAATGTCATATTAGTTTATTTATTATTACACACACTGTCTCAGAATAAGATAATTACTGGTATACAATTTTCCGTTACAAAAAAAAAAAAAAAATCAAAAATTTAATGAAATCAGTATGATATATAAATGGATACAATCAGGTATTTACTCTTTCTACCAAATGTGTAATATGTTTTAAATTGACTTCAAATTGATACCAATAAGGGCTTATATTTCCTTGTCACCAAGGAATAGTTTAGAATTTTCCATTTTGACAGTCTTTACGATAGGAATCAGACCTGTCACCGGGAGAGATCAGATTTCAAACAGAGCTGATTTCTTTTGAAAGATCTGACAAAAATGCCTTTAAAACCAACAAAAACACTTTGTAAATAAAGATCAGATAGACGGGTAACAGGCTCTATATAACAGGCAAGTATACAGAATGAGAACTGTCGAGATTAGTATTACAGAGTATTCGGGGAAGGATGAAAACTTTATTGGGGTAAGATATATATGTATGCAAATATATCAATATAAGTTTATACCTGGTATAGATATTAAATAACTACCAGTCAATAATATGTATTAATTAATAATAACTTAACCACTTTTCTATGCTGACATTTTCCGTATTGGGTTCACATAGATACAGTGTGTATCGTAATAAATATTGGTTGATTAATAAGCTTGGATATAGAAGTAACTTCACATACTGACCATAACACTGCGTACAAATTATCCTCAAGAGATGATGAGCTGTGAATTTATGCATTCCATCCATTAATAATGTAATCAATTCATAACAATGAATAATTATGAACATAGTTAAATTAGTATAGAATTTATTAATCAATGAAAACAAAATTTTTATTTGAATTTTGAAATTGAATTCAAAACTATTTTAGACGAAGAAATTTTGTGTATTTTTTTGCAAATTAAATTATATTCATTGGAAAGAGGTATATACTTCCAGGTGCATAAAAGTATTTCCACTTTTGCAATACTAATTATATGAGAAAAACAAAATATAAAGCAGATTAAATATTATGTACTGAAGTGGCATATCACTTTTGGTCACTAAATCTTTAATTGTTGATTTAATTCAGATTACACAATAAGGATCTATAAATATCAAACAGAGAGAAGTACGTGAAACTAAATCTGGCAGGAATGGAAAAAAGAAGGGGGGTTACACAATTTTTACACATTTAGATAATCATAACAATGGTTTCCAATCAATCAAGGTTATTATTCTAAGATTTTTTGAAAGCACAGAAAAGCAATATTGAAATTTCAAATCACTTTTAGTTTCCTCAAAAAACTTTCCTAATACATTTAAAATCTATATAGAATTCAGAACTCACTAATACACATTCTGAAATCAATTTAAAAGATTTCACTTTAGTACATTATATACAGTGTATCTAAACCAGTAGTTTTAAAGAATCAAAACATCTACTTCAATGTTCAAATGCCTACACTTAAAGAGACCTTTTTTTGAACATAATGGAAATTGAATGATACTTTGTACCACTGGCAATTAGGTCTTATTGAAATTAGATTTAAAAAAAAATAAATAATGAATATATCCTGTACAAAAACTTTCCATAAATTCATGTCTTTTTGATCAATAATACTATATATAACTCTAAAAGACAATATATAAACTTAAGTTCTTTTTGGCAGCACCTGAAGATCTACTCCCCTCCCCCTTTTCTGAGAAAAAAATTTAATTAACGGTTTCAAAAATTTAATCATTTATCTCTTTTACACAATGTTACATGTAGAACAAATTGCTGAGAGCATATAACTTGTGAAGATTAACAGGCCAAAGGTTTTATGGACCTGTAACTAGTCATTACTCAATAGACAATTTAAATAGCAACAATAAGCTCCTTAAAAGTATTAGCGGTTTTTCTTTTTCACTTCAATATGGATTTAGCATTAAAAATTAGATCAAAGACCAAGTCATGCATGGAATTTTCTTTAACATAAGTACAGAGTTCTAAATAGGTGCTACATATATTTATATATACATATGAATTTCAAAATGATAGTCATGGAGGAAATGCCATGAGTTTGATTATTAATGAAATGGTTATAATCAAACTAACATAATGGGATGCCTAATTACATTTTACAGGTAATTAATATTTTGAATTGATTTGTTTCTTTTTTTTAAGACATCTTTTTTCTTCTTTTTTTGAAGTCATGAACCAGTCTTGCCAATATCATAACTGCAATCACTGATTGAAATTGCAATACATGAATTAACTTTTGAGATATAATTAATCTGAAAAAATTCATGAAAAGAAATTTTATTGATGTTTTAAAAGGTTATCAAACTTCTGACACTGTTAAAGCCTTTTTCTACATTCACTCAAAAGCTTGGCATACTCAGTACATGACAGTTTATTGTAATGTATTCTTTTTCAACTATAGAAACATCTTTCAATCACCAATCAATTATTCATAAATTTATGCTATTTTATGCAATAAAAGGTTTATTTCATGTTGATAGTTACTCTAGGAAAAATAACCAGTGTTGTCCTTAGGAACTGAAATAGCAGAGGACATTCAAATAATAGCAGGTGTTTGGGGTTCATGACTTAAAAGGGGGAGGGGGTTGAGAAGGAATACCAGAATACACTGTAACTGGGGGGGGGGGGCATAATAAGCACAGAAATTCCCCAGCCCCCAGGTCCGAACATATCAATGTTGATAAGCCATTTATAAAAATTGTTTTATCACCTTGGTTTCAGGATATACGTAATAAGTTGCATTGTCTTTGTTCCTCAGGTATTAATTATTGATCATCACCTGTTTCATTGTTCTGTAATGAGCCTCAACAGAAATATACACACCCTCAATCTATACTAACGTATGTACATTTTCACGGATTATTGGATGAGATATTGATTATTTTCTTTTCTTTCATTGAAGGCCATTCCTTTGTCTTGGAAAGAAATGAATCGGGAATTTTTAGCTGAACACCATTTGGAACCATAATGTGGGACTACCATGACAGTATTTCATTTTAACCATAATTATTTGTGAGAGAAATTTAAGTATACTTGAATCACCTAGTTGTTATAATGCAGCTTACCATGGACCACAGAAGCAGATCTATGGAGTACACCCAGGACTGTGATTCTGTTAATAACGACCAGGATTTTAACGGGAACACCGCAGACACAAAGTCCGAGGAGCGGGACAGTGGAACGGGACTCTCGAGTCACTCCACCTCGGCCGATCCCATGAGTATGGACGACTCAGACGAGCCCGCCAGTATCGGGGAGGAACTCAACTCCTCCTCTTATCATTTAGACATGGACGGGGAGCTGGTGCCGATTAACAAGGACGAACTACAGGACACGTGCAGTGATTGTGAGGCCTCACGTACTTACACTGTGCCCACCCCTGTCAGTTTCATTAACAATAACGCTAACGAGCTGGTCGACCCACTTCAGGAGATAAATCAAGTTAACATCAAGGAAAAGAAATATCCTGTTCTCCCTTCCATCAGCAAGAAATCGTGTACCCCACGTTCTCTCCCAAGTGAAACATCTCTGGACAATGAACTTCTTGAAAAGTGTCTAGTGCGAGAACTGACCAAAAATCAAATGGACTTTTCGAGAGAAAGAATGGAAAAAGAGGCTGACTTTTTTGCGGATCATCGAATTAATACAAGCAAAGTGAAAGCTACCCCTCGCACCAATCCCCTTCCTCCTATAAGACCTGCAAATGCTTCCTCCCCAGATAAAATGGGAACGTGAAAACTATGGCTAACAAAATTTATGAGCAAAAACTGCTCTGACATTAAAAGTCTATCTGTGCATAGCAATAATTATGATTGAGCACACATATAGTGATGGATTGTGCTTTGACAACAAAATGGTATCTTGTTCAAAATTACTGCATTGTTAAATGTGTTGAAAATTTGAGATCTGATGATATTTATCATATATGCAAATGATATTTGTATACTATAGTGTGTTTTCATAATCATTATAGCTACAATAATATATGCAGACATTTAAGAATTTTAGACAAAATATAGGGTTGGATTTACTGTACTGCAATTTTTTGGTCTCTTAAAATTGAAGAGTTTCTATTTAGTAAGCAATAGGGATGTCAAATCGGTCAATTTTCAATACTCGGTTACTCGGACGTTTTTCCGATCGAGTACCCGGGTACTCGGTAAAAGTGTAAATAAATATGAACAAGTAAATTGAAGCCTGTAAAACATTGTAAACTCTTGTAGAAATAAAACCAGATGCACTGATTGGGGGCTTATCCGTAAATGTACTTCTGTTGTAATAATGATGAGCACTTCGTACCCGACGAAATTTAATATAACAATTTTTAAATTCAATTTATTTATCAGATAAACACAAGAAATAAAATCATAAGTTGTTCACAGTGTTTTTGTTTAAAAAAAATAATCTGCTCCGCAATTGTAATGTAACTCTTTGTCGCGTTTGACGACCAGGTATCAGTCGTCAGAGCTACGTACAGTATCAACTTGAACTTGATCAAGTTCTCCTAACAGAGCGGATTTACGATTTTAGTACACTTGTTCGATCCGAGATTTATATAGTATTACGGGACGGTATTTTGTAGTTTGATGCAACGATGGACATCAGTTTTTTTAAAGCCTTTGCCTTCAACCAGTTGTACTGGCATGTAATCAAATACAACCATATCAACAATCGCACGTGTAATATCATCCGCTCTTTTCCCGAGAATTTACGGCTTCTCGTAGAATTGACAAAATTATCTAATTTATTTAAACATAATGGATCTTAAACGATGTTCAGTGAAAACAAATAATTAAAGCCAAACAAAAAATAAGGAAGAAGGCAGCCGAAGGTGAGAAAAGCCAGGTAGCAGGTGCTTGATCATGTTAATTACTGTATAAACACTGCCACAGGCGATAACGGTCATTTACTGTATGTACAGGTGCAATGAGCATTTTACGTTTTAAAACAGATTGTTAAATGCATTAATAAAAATGATTAGAAATATTCAAAAATATACATCCGAGTAACCGAGTACCGATTTTAGTATTCGATACTCGGACGATCGAGTACCCCGTTAACCGGGTACTCGTTGACATCCCTAGTAAGCAACAACAGTTTGTAAAATTTAATTACAATATAAAGTTTTTTCATTACAATATTATAGCAAATTTTATTTATCATTCCAAATTTATTCATATTTCATTAATTTGATTGTTACAGCATTAAATCAAATTTTAAAAAATTGGTTTTGACTTGCATTATGTTTGAACATATTTTATTGTTTTTGATGTTATAACAAAAGGATTGGACACAAGTTCTTAAAAACTTAGAACGTCCTCTCCTTTATGCATTATGTATTAATATAACCTCTAAATTACCAAATTCAAACCTTATACTTATTACCAAATTCAAACCTTATACTTATTACATGTACCATATTTAAAATTTCTATAATTTAAAAAGTTAACTTTTCAATTGAAAAGTTAACTTTTCATTAATTCATGTATGACATTATTGCCAGATTTATGGTAATTCTATGATCAAATGAGACACATTTATGGATTTTATTTAAGAATTTTAAAAATATGTACAAAATGTATACATAATGTACCATACAAAAAGTTGGCTGCCCAAGAGGCAGACAATATATATTACAACTGAATGTAAATCTAAATGTGGGCAGATAACTACATTATTGTATCTGAATTTTACACACTGTTGATTTTTTTTTAATCATGATGGTGATGCAAAGTTTTTATCTGTATATGTTCAAAATAGTTATCATTCACAACTCGATTCCTCTAGATTAATTGTATATTTTTTTCATCATAATTTTCACATCTACATGCTGCATATGAAATATACAGTAAGAAATACTGTACAGGGGGAAAATAACTCGCGGTGTTAATATTCGCTATATTCACGGTGTCAATGAATCCGTGAATTCAAGAAACAGTGAATAAGTTTTCAATAGATATAAATAAGGGGGGAAACTTTTATTATATACCAATTCCGCGAATTCAAGAAACCGTGATTGTATCAAAAAAGAGAAAAACGTGAAAATTACAACCCGTGAAATTAATCCCCTATACAGTAATTTGATAGAGAACCTTAGTACAAACTGATCTAGGAATAATGTTAAGTTCCTAACAAAAAATGTTTTGTGGAACAAGATTAAGCCTCAAGATTATACTAATGCAAATCATATCAGAATGATAACCATTACATGTACAGATCAAAATGATTCATGCTCTCTGTAGCATAATTTATATAGTGCTTTAATATCCACAGTGTAATGGAAATGATTTTAAAAAGTTGTTATTGGTGAAATTAAAGTGCCACAAAAATATCCTAGATTTTTGTCACTGTTCACTAAAAATGAATTAAGGTCAGACGAGACGTTCCTCAAAATCTGTTTAGTATATCTTCGTAATGTATGAAAAATATTCAAAATTTTAATAATATTCTGATTTCTAAACCAGTTTCTAAACGTTTTTAAAAAATCCAAACACTAAAACATTTGAAATTGGAAAATTATTTTTCTTCCCCAAAGGATTATATAAGAAAAACTACCCCTGGTATCTTGCAGAAATGCCTGGTAAGGTACCTCAATTTTTTGTGAGTAAACATGTTTAAGTAGTAATACTTCAATGACAAACTCTTAGAAAAATTCATCTATCATTAAGGAACGTCTCGTCTGTCCTTAAACCTCAAGTTGGGGGTGGGGATGTCCTTCTAACTTCAAGAAATGAAGATTTTAACATCTGTTCAAGGGGAACAACTTGGCAAATCATATGTTTAACTGATATGAAATTCAACCAAAAGAATTTTGCAACTTTTGCATTTCCTTTTTCAAAATAACTCATTCAAAAGTCACTCATTTAAGATGAAGCAAAAAAAAATGCTGCTATCAAGTAAGGTAAAAAATCACAACAGATGATCAGGCACTAAGTGCAAGACCATATAACTTGAGAAGAGACTGAGTCAAAATTTTTACTTTTACCGGTATTATTTTGAGTTTTATTTTATGTATTTGCTTAAAAATTTGCCATTTTGTATTACATTTAATAACATCTAAATTCCAAAAGGTGATAAAAAACGTTGTTCCTAAATATCAAAATTATTTTCAGAGTTTATAGTGGTTTGAAATTTTGACCTAAGTCTTTTCTCCGTTCATGGTGTTGGGGCCTGGAACATCTGGAACATGAGTAATCTCACCTTATGATGAAGTCCAGATTGTTGTTGGCTATTGTGACAACAATATCAGGTATATTACTTCTGTTATTGGCATGACTCTCTGCAGAGGCCCTGAAAAGAAAGATTTTAAGTCATTTAATTGAAGAATCATACATAATTTGGCAAAAATAATGAAAATTTATGAAAGAATTCAAAAATAAAAATATAATGTAAATCTTTACCTGTAAGCATTTTTCAAAACTTCTGTCAATATGTACTCGAGAGGTTGTGGTATATAGGGAAACTTGGCATGAAGATGACCATTTAAACGAATATGAGGAGAGTACCCATATTTAGACAAGCAAAGGTTCCTGCAAAGAAAATCTTAACAAATTCATATCAACATTTCTTGAGGTTTATTGACAATTGATACCATAAAAGCTCTGCCTCTGAGATTAAAACATGACAGAGTTCATTCACAAAAAACTCTCTTTCTTAAAGGATTCTTCTTAGAGACTTCACACTTTACTCATGCAGGTTCATTTACTTCCAGATTTCAACACGATAAAGAAAGATAACTCTTTTTTTTTTCCTAATCAAACACTCTGCAAATAACACTTGATATGACGTGACATTATTTACCTGATACTATCAGCACATCGTTCAACAAGCATCCTCGGTGAAAAGTTTACATCAACAATACCAACATGGTTTGGCTGAAAATTAATGGCATCCATAAATAAAAAAATCATTATAAAGATGAATGAATTGAAAAGTATGATTCTTTGATAAATAAACGTAATTATTTTTTGCCAACAATAAATTTTTAAAAATATACTCACTCTTTCATCATGAAGAGCAACATGGTGTTCTACTAACAATCGAATCCCTAGTCGAGATTTTAACATTCTGTCCAAAAATAGCCTTATCATTTCTTCATCCTAAAATACAATAAAATGAAAGTTAGTATTCTAAAATAATATTGATGGACTTTTCTTGAAGAATGAAGTTTGCAATTTATATTTATTTTAGAGATTGCATAATGAACATGGCTAGAAAAAATTAATTTCAGTCAGAATCTTTTTTCTTTTATCAAAAATGCAAAATTTTATAAACATGAACCCTTTTTTTCAAAGCATATGAAAAAAGGTCAAGTTTTAAGATACTTGAGATGATATGTTTCAAAATATGTGCTCTAGCATTCATTTTCACCACTTGAATCACTTCAAGTGAGGATGGCGTTTTTTTTCCTTTCTTACAAAGCAGCCATAATAAATAATCCCCAAATATCTTTCTTTCAAAAATGACATATGTATACAGTTTACCTGAATATGCCTTCTGCATTCTGAGAATCCCTCAGCAAGCATGGTTACGACATTGCTGTGGTCATCAAGTAAGGTCTTCAATGTGTTTGTATAGGCATGTTCTGATTTAAAGTCAACAATCTGAAATATACAGACATGTTAGCATAAACATTTCATTCTAACTACAAAGATACATGTAATACCGTAACTTTCATATCCCCTCTTGTAACTCAAGACTTCCATTTGAAAAATTTATAAATCCCACTGTACCCTCATTAGTTTTTTTTTCTTTCATAGTTTCAGTGAATTTGAATAATGAATAAACAAATTATCAATAACATTTTATATACATGTATTTGTACAGTACTCCACTGTCTTTGTCTGAAAAAAAAAAGATGGTTAAACAAAAAAATTACTTACTGGGGGATGTTCATGAAGTATGTAAAATGCTCTGATGTACATTTCATGCTGTAAAAGAAGAAAAAAAAATACGACAAAATAAATCTGCTAATACATAATGTACCACATACCGTATAGCGGGTTATTTTAGCGGGGTGCTAATTTTGGCTTATTTTGGCGTTTTGATTACAGCCCGCTAAAATTTTAATCGCTAAAATATTCAGTTCTCTTCCTAGTGTTCATCTGCAAAGAGCTGAAACCCTGTGTCCACCAAATTAAGTTACGCTAAAATTATTGGCATACCTTTGAGTAGGCAAATCGCCAAATTTTACACCCGCCAAGAAAACCCGCTAAACAGTATATCAATTAAAACAGCCATAGAATCCCTCAGATACGGAGAGCATACTGGTAGTTTAAAAAGTAATTTAAATTCAAATTTAAAAGAGGAGAACAAAATACTTACAACTTTAAGTATGGTAGGATTACATCCAACAATGAAAGGTAGTCCTCGAAATCCACGGATTCTGTGAGCGATCCGTACAGGTAGTTCATTATGTAGATACTGAGCACTCCGCTATAGTAATGTAAAAACATGAATCTGATTACAGATCTTATCAGAGATTTCTAAACACACATGTTTATATCCTAAATAAAAACATTTGAGAATAAATAAATATCAAAGTAATCAAAGCAATGAATTTTATATTTATAATTCAAGAAGAGTTGCCAACACCAATCCTGACAAGATTATCTGAATGAAAGTTTGTGGTCTGGCAACATCTCTAAAAGTTTTTATTAGAAAAGTCAATCATTCCAGTAGCTCATTTGTCTTTCAATATTCCACTGACAGATGGAAGCAAATCACATCCCATTATGTTTTAAAATCTTTATATTTCATTCTGTGCGCATATTATTTACATTTTGCATTTTTTAATAGTGACTACAGTACTGCTTGAATTGCATTGAAGAAGAATTTGATCATACCAGTAAATGACTATTATCTGGGCTCTTTCCAGCATACAGCAAAGTTGCTGGTGTAAGTCTCACAGATGGCTGCAAAATTAATTCATAAAAAAATTCTCAATTCTCAAAAAAGCCTCAATCCTAAACCAAACATAAATTTAAAAGGGTCCAAAATACAGCATTATTTTTCCATAAATGAAACTAACTTTTGTGTAAAGAAATCATTAATCTACAATTTCCCAAATTTTGTGTGCAAAAATGTGTATTTTATGTATCAGGAAAATGTCATAACAGGTGCCATTATGAAAAATGAAAATATAGCCATCCATCTCCAAATATAGTTTATTTTCGATTGCCAAACTCACAATTTATCAGTAGTACATTTATGTTTCAATACACACCAGTATCGATAAAAAAAAATACAGGACTTGTCACTTCTAAGATATTAAAATGCATGAAATGAATACAAATCTCGTCAGTCTGATAAATTTTTTTCTTCTGATTGTATATTTTATAATAAATGAAACTTAAAAATTAATTTTTGTGATTACAAGTTTTGTACTATTGATAAGTTGTGAGTTTGACATGAATTCTATTCGCAAGCATCGAAAATCAACCCGAGAATCCACTTCAGGTTGGAGGCAGTGAATTCCCAGTTTTCTCAATGGCACCATGCAGTTCTGAAGTTTCCTCATATCAAAATTGTGAAAAAAGTCTGGAAAACATTATTTCAGACTTAGAATAATATGTATTTACAGTCAAACATCGTTATCCAAAACTCAGTGGGAACAAAAACACCTCAAGAGTCCAAGGATTTTAGATATACCAAAAAATAAATCAAGAATAAGCAGTCGAGACTTCTAATTAAATTATTTTAACATATCCTCAACATATATAACTTCAGGGGATGCTCACTCCTCCATGGCACCCGATCCCTTCTCCGATGTTTTGGAGGTCCATGTTTGCTCTACTCCTATTTTCTATTGTTTAATGGACTTCTGATCTTGTAAAAAGACTGTTCGTTATCTCCATATGTTTCATCCATGACATTCGAGTTATCAGAGTTTGAGATAATAATGTTCCACTGTATAACAGGTATATATCCCTATCATTTTGAGTCTCAAGAAACTAATGAGTGCACGCTTACTTGGTTTGTAACTGGCTGTCTCTGAAAATCTAGGTCTAGTACATGCAAACATAATTTTAAATTTACCTTAGCTGCCACCTGCTCGATGGCACTTTGGTTATAGAAAGAAGCCACTGATGCTGAGGCTAAACGTTCTGAATAATCTTTTGTTCTGTAAAACTGTTTGAAATTGAAAAATGAACTTAAAAATCGAGAATATAACAGAGATCTTTCTATCGACTGTCTTTTACTCAAACAGCTGATCGACGCCATCTTGCACTTTCAATGCCCTGCCCAAATAAAGTTTTCTTAGCAGGTTAAAACATGTGTCAACAATGTAAAGTTTCATTAAAATAAGACATTCCGATCCTGCTTTCCATTCACGTCAGAGGTAGCGCCAGTATTTTCTTCATATTCATTCTCCTGTCTTTCTTCACACAATCTGAAATGCCAATGGCCTTGACACTTTGGCGTCGACAGCTATTATTTTCGAACTTAACAGATTATAGTTAATTTTTGACATCAAGATATCTTATATTAAAAAAATAATTTATTTTTAAATTCGATATTAAATTATTCAGTGAATTTAGTATTTCATTTTGCATGCCTGAAAGTTTCGTATTCAGGATAACGTGACCTAAGAGTCACATGACATTTCAAAACACGAGATGCAATCACAAGAAGTACTCAGGTGCATGAGGAAGTAAATAAAAGACAGCACACACTGATACAGCGTAATACATTATCACGCCCCATGATGTCCGTCCTATATCCGTTGCTTCTTAGCCTTCTTTCCATTCTAAGTGTTGTTTATGGGGCTCCATCAGAAGATCTGATAGTTGCACTGCCAGGATTGAAGAACCCTCTTCCATGGAAACAATACTCAGGATACTTGAATGGAACAGAGAAGAAACACCTTCATTACTGGTAATATATACTTTTTTAGCTCACCTTAGTCAGAACTTAGAAGTTGGTTACAGTCGATTCGATCATTGTCAAGTGTCAATATAGATAAGACTGTTTGGCTGTGTGTCTCACTGTCTGTATGTATGTAACGGGGGAGGAGAGAAAAGCAGCAGACCAGACCGGGATTCGAACTGGGCCCCCTGAATCTCCAGTTAGATGCTCTACCAACTGAGCTATTCTTGCCGGTATCCTCAGTCCAGTCAAAATTCCTACATTCTCCCCTCTTTTAAAAGTCTTCACCCCCGAAGACACAACACAAGTTCACCTTGTCAGGACTTAACATCAATTATATACATGTACTATTTATTACATGTATATTGCCTGAACAAGGTAGCTAGGCCATGGCACCATCTGTAGTATGAGTTAAAGTAGGAGTAAGTAAATATTCATTGAAAATTAAAAGGTAATACGCTTTATCACTGCACCACATTATAAAATGTAGAAGTTTGCATGGGCTAAATACGGACAGTGGTCCCTGTCAAGCCATATGTTTTCTTCATGCATTTCTCCTTTCCTTACATTTGGTGGCCACTGTGGGGGCCTTGTTCAGGTTACAGTGTATGTAAATTAGTATAATTCCTGGCAGGGCCTTATAGAACTTGTGTCCTTGAGGTTGAAGACTGTTTAAGGAGGGGGGATGTAGAAGTTAGACTTTAAGGACTGTGGATATCGGCCTGGATAGCTCAGTGCAGTGGATAGCCAATGCAGGGGTCCTATGTTCGATTCCCTGTCCTGCCATATGTTTTCATCTGCATGCATGCATCTCTCCTTTCCTACTACAAAAGTAACTCAAAATTATGCACCTCATTTCTTAGTCTTTTGTTCTAGGCCATTACAAACTTTTAACAGGTTGGAGACAATTCCAGATAGAGGAAGAAATTCATTTAAAGATGTTAAACAGAATTATTTCTGAATAATTGCAAGGTTATGTTCACAGTATTCTTGATATATAGCTGAATGGAGTCTACTAAGTAAATGTACACATCAAAAACTTCTAAGTTTACAGCTTTCATTTTTATGAGCACTTATATATGTAAGAGTACATATTGCAGGATAGAAACAAACAGCATGTATAAGAGGGTAACAGTTACAAAGTGAGGATGCATCAAGTGTTGAACAACAATTCAGTGTCAGTCTGCATAAAAGTTTTTTTTAAGCAAAAAATAAACAAAAAACATGCATGCATGTATTTATTTCCTTTCTCTTAATTTTGCTGCTTTCAATTTTTTAAGACCAAAAAGAAGTGAGGCGCTACTTAATGCAAACTAATAGTTGGATATTGAAATTTAAGGATTCCAAACTATTTACTTTTTTCAACCAAAGTACCTAGGTGTTCAAAATAAGCAAAATTGGCCATGTGAAGACATTGATCTCAATCTTAAAAGCATAATAGACAAATCTGGTGCAATTATATGGCTCATCTTCAAATTTAAAACACTGGAACAATGAAAATATAGAAGTTTTTTTTATAAACAACAATTTATCTGTAAAAAATTTGACATTTTTCGACCTCTGTGTATTCTTGATCTAGCCTTGACAATTGTTCCATTCCATTCTATTACATGTATTAATTTTCATATTTAATAAAGGTCCTTTTTTGTCAAATACATGTATTGACAAACTTTTCCTCTGGGAAATTCCATTAAAGTAAAATTTTGTATGAGTATAGAGAGGAATGTTGTACATGTACCTTTATCATGAATTTTCTTTCTTTTGATTCACCATATGACCCTTAGGTTTCTCACAAACTATTGGGGAAAATTTGGTATATTGGAGTTTTACCATATAAATTGACTTGATTCATATTTAATAAAGGTCCTTTTTTGTCAAATACATGTATTGACAAACTGGGATTTCCTCTGGGAAATCATCAGCATTAAAGTAAAATTTTGTATGAGTATAGAGAGGAATGTTGTACTACTGTACCTTTATCATGAATTTTCTTTCTTTTGATTCAGGTACTTGGAGTCTTCCAGTCCATCCCAAGCATCAGACCCTGTTGTGTTGTGGATGAATGGAGGACCAGGATGTAGTTCTGATCTAGGACTTCTGTCAGAGCACGGGCCGTTCAGGGTATTAAGAAAGCATTTGGGTGATATTATTAAGCATCACATACATGTTTAAATATATTTCTAACAAAACAAACTTTTTAAGAGAGTTTCAAGAGAGTTTGAGAATATATCTATAAAAGTGTTTACTGCCTGTGGACACTTTCTTAAAATGGTGTACTACTTTGTTCTAGGTTGCTCCAGATGGGGAAACATTGACATTGAATCCATACAGCTGGAATAAGGTATTGAGCTTTTGTGTGTATTTATACACTCATTATACAGTTTGACAAATCTACCTTATATGGATATTCTTATTAATACATGTACATGTATATTATTATTATAGCAACCAGGGTGCTTACCATGAACATGTTTATTAGCTTACTTTCTTCAACTTTTAATTGACAAAAACTTTTGCTTGAAGAATTAATTATCTTACAATTTAATAATTGTATTTGAATCTTTGTATTTCTTAGGAAAGCAATGAATGTTCCATAATCATTTATCAGAAAAGACAATTGCAATTGTCTATTCTGATAAATGATTATGGAACATTCATTGCTTTCCTAAGAAATAAAAAGATTCAAATACAATTATTAAATTGTAAGATAATTAATTCTTCAAGCAAAAGTTTTTTCCAATTAAAAGTTGAAGAAAGTAAGCTAATAGTTCAAATCATATAATTGCTTTAGAGGGAATAAATTTACCTCTTTTCCTTCTCAACCTGTATGAGTGATAGTAGAAACTTATATAACCATTGGAATTAATTTTTGTAGGTTGCCAACATGCTGTATTTAGAGGCACCAGCTGGAGTGGGCTTCTCCTACGCTGATGATAAAGAGTACAAAACAGATGATGACCAGGTAAAAATTGTCTCCCTTTGTGAAGTAAGACTGCAAACATTCAGAGATATTATATAATGTTGATGAATCAACCATATTAATCTATTCAAAACAAATTATTAAACTGCTAAACCTTGTTAAATTATCTATAAATTAATAATTAATTAATTAATTCAAAGTAAAACTTGAGAGAGATATGGTGGTCCTTTGTACTCAGGTTTAAACAATAGTAGATGGGACTTTCAATTAATGGACTTCAACATATAGCCATGGTATTCAATATATTATAGCTGTATATACAGAAGTTCAATTGTTATCTATCTTTGGCACCAAAAATATGAAGTGAAAACTTTCTTGTCATTTTTCCAAGCAATGAGAGAAACATTAAAAGGATATTAGAAATTGAAGACTTGAAGAAGCAAACTATAAGATGACCCCAATTTCTTATGACTAAATTATAATTAATATTTGCAATTGTTTTACTTTACATGTACCTTTTTTTTAGGTCTCCCTTGATAATTATTTTGCTCTGAAAGATTTCTTCAGCAAATTTCCAGAATTGGCCAAAAATGATTTTTTCATAACCGGTGAAAGTTATGGTGGAATTTATGTACCAACCCTTTCCCAGCGAGTTATTAAGGACCCCGGTATAAACTTCAAGGGATTCGCTGTGGGTAACGGATTGTCGGACTATGGAATGAACACAGACTCCCTCATATATTTTGCCTATAATCATGGATTGATTGGACAAAAGTGAGTTTTTGATTTGGCAGCTTACTTTTATTGTCATAAGCTCACCTTCATATGGCTTATAATGATATGACAGATGGTTGTTTAATCACACTGAGTAACTGTAAACCAAAATTTATGACTTCCTTTTACTCAGAAGTAGTTCTGTAGTACACTTATTATTTTGCATTTATTGTATATCTATTAAGAATGTGACCTCTGTCACAAAATTCATCATCATGTGGATTTCTAACTGATAAATCCCCTGAAAAGTTTTTGCAAATGTTTCCTGAGTCACAAAATTCATCATCATCTAAATTTCAAATGATAAATCACAAAAAAAAAAAAAAAGATTTTGCAAATACTTGTTTACAAAAAATTTAGAGCAATTTCATAAACTGCCAATACATGTATATTTTGCTAAGATGTTTATTGATTTTCAGAATTTGGAAAGATCTGGGAAGCTGCTGTGGTGGTAATCTGACCAGATGTACATTTCACAGTAACCCAAGCAAGAGTCCAGTGTGTAGTCAAGCAGTAAGTATCAATATCATGGAAAATCTTCAAGTCTGTTAGTGTTAACAACAGTTTTAGCAACAGTTTTAAAAGTGGGGGGTTCAACTTCCCCCAAACCAGCATCTAAACAAAAATTTGGTTGATAGCAAAAGACTCTACTCAGAAAAAAAGTGGCAAATGATGAAGATGTAATATTTGAAATGTCAATCAAATACATGTATAGAAAATTTTCAAGAGTTATTTTTCCGGGCTGAGGGAAAGATGACTTGAATGAGGATCTTTCCTTAAGTTTCTAAAACTTTTGTCTTCAACAATGATTTGCCTCAAAATTTTGCCAGATGCTATATATTTAATTTGCCATATACCTACAGTGTATATGTTGATTTTCTTTAAGAAATTGTGAAATTTACAAAAGGCAATTGACCAGAGGGCTGTTCTTCTAACTTAAGGTAGATTATATTACAGTGCTTGAACATGCAATATGTATTGACATTTTTTTTCCAGATAAGTGAAGTTGAAACAATAGTGTATATGAGTGGATTGAATGAATACAACCTGTATGCTAAATGTGAGTCCACTAAGGCTGGTGTCTGGTTTGACAAGGAAACCAATGCCTACTCCTACTCCTTGTTCCCATGGCATTACCATAGCAATCCTACATACAGGAAACAGCTACAGGTAATGAACACTCTTATATATACCTCTGTCATTTTTTTTTTTTGTTTGTTTGGGTTTTTTTGTGTTTTACTTGTTATTTATGAAAAATCAAAACCACTTAAGTTTGGTCCATTTTCAAAGAAAATGAAAGCATTGTGCATTGTTTCGGCCATAGATTACATATTTCCACTGGATTTGAATCCAAGACGTATAATTCAGAATTTAAACTTATAAACTTTATTTTTTTTAAATTTGTCAGTACACTTTTATACTTCTCTAACTCTCGAAAAACCACATTAACATGATTATTTTGATTTATAATGTATTCCCTTTTTGTTTTGATATATACAATGCTACAGTATTTGTTTTACAGTTTGTCCAGGATCTGAGAAGTCAAGGTCATAACCTCCGTCTCACTCCACCATGTTTAAACTACAATAATGTATTAAAGTACATGAGATCTAAGGAAACAAGAAAAGCACTCCACATTCCAGATGATGTGCAAGCATGGGATCTTTGCAGGTATAGTTAGAACTTTATTCATTTTCATCATTTAATTAAGATACATTATCATAAAAAATTAAGGTATCTGGAATAGATAGCATGGATTCATTTTTGTGATCACAACTTCTGAAATATAATGTAATAAAATAGATGAGGGCAAACAGGCTATTCGACATGGTTGGCAGAACTAGTAAAATGCACCAAAGGGATAGGTACAGAAGTACACATGCCATAGTATATAACAAAGTAACCTCAAAGAGAAGCATCCCTATGCAACAAGATCTCATTCAAAGGTCCTTCACTTTTGATCTTATGGACTTAGAATCAAACAGTTTCCTCCATAGGCCACCAGGCACTGAGTCCACAGTTTAGTTTGCATCTTTCACAGTTTTTGTCCTTGACCTTTAAAGATCGAAATAATAAGCTTCTCCCTTGGCCACTCTGCATCTCTACAGCAATGAGAGACTGATAAATCTTGTGATGCTCTTCACTAGATATCTATCACAGTCTTTAACCATGACCTGTGCCCTCTGACACCCATATCTACATGTGTATGGGTGTTTCTCTGGTCACTTACAACCTCTGTAGAAAATTTGAAACTGAAAGATTAAATTCTTTTCATCATATTGTATCTACATGTACAATAATGCTGAATCAGAGTAACTTGACAATAACCTTTGATTTTCTGAATCTTAAATGAATAGGCAAGTTGTTCTCTGGTCAACTACTTCCTCTGTAGCAAGATTGGGACTGAGCACTGAAGTATAGCTCACTATGTCCATTGTAGCAAGTTTAAGACTAAAATGATGTTCCATATGAACAAAACTTTTAGGGACACATGCACATAGTCTTTTAAATGCCAGCTACTGCACATCCAGTCACATACAGGATGGCCCAGTAGTCATGGTGATGGTTTCATTGCCCTAACAGTATTTCTGCATTTTATCATTTCCAAAGTAACAATGTTGTAGAATTACAACATTGTCCTACTTTGCAGATGCATCTAGAACTACCGGGTACATACAGTTATCATTTACATGTAAATTATGTGGTAAGATAGGACCAAACCAGTTTATTTATTTGGTTTAGACATCAGGTAGACTGATAAAGGAAAAAAAATATTTAGCTTTCATTTGAATATTTTCATTAAGTAAGCCTGACAGAGAAAAAATTTAAGATTGTTAAGTCTCAATAATGAGCATCGAAAGTTTTGATGTAACATTTTCATTTTAAAAATCTTTTTTATTATAGTGCAATAGTTGGAGCACAGTATAAGACTCTTTATCAATCAATGAAAATACAATACGAGGATGTACTAAACAAAGGGGTAAGTGGACAAATACATGTATCAGGGACATATACTAACGGAATAGGTAACTACCGCAAGTCTCGCGATATCTCGTAAGTCGCGGGATTTTGTAAGTCAACTTTAATTAATTATATCTCTAAAGCTATCGCATATTTGAGATCAAATCTTTTAATTATCTGTCAAAAAATCATTCAAGATTTGTTTTTATCACTTATTATACTCCTTATCTTAGTAGTAAATTTGTCTTATGCAAAATCAGCATATGCCCCGATCAGCCATATTTCCGAGAAATCGCCAATTTCGGTGTTTGTTTTCTTTATATTTAGATTATATTATTATTATGCTTTAAAATTTATTAATAAATCAATTTCAATACATAAAAGGAATAAATGATATTAATCAGAAAAAACCCTGTTTACTGGTAATAAATGTAGTTTGAAAAACTTGTAGTGTTGTGCCTGATGTTTTGGGTAAATAAACATAGAGATGAAGGAGTTGCCTATCCCGTTAGTATATAGGTCCCTGCATGTATACAGTTTGTTGTATCAAAAACACTGTATGTTATAGTATCAAACATACTATATGCTATTGTATAGTGTAATAAAACAGTGTAAGTAATCAAGAATGTAGACCATCTCAATGTCAAATTCATATTCTTATGTGCCACTTTTTTGAGAGACAGTTTTATGGTAGAGGCTTTCTCTTGTGTCCTGCTTTTTCTTGTCCATATCATATCATGTACACTGTGAGAATATAGATCTTTCAATCTTTGTCAGTTGATGCATCTTTGGGAAGGGTATATTGCAACCCAAAAGTAGGTCATCCTGACTTCATTTTGTAATTTTATGACTTAAGTGTTCAAAATTTTGTACACTGTGAAGCTTAGGATCATTAAACCATATGTTTAATTGGAAAATCATGGGGGTAATGATGGGGGATATTGCAGCCCCAAAGATGGTTATTTTATTTCAGTGTAGTTACATGTATTTGTTACTAATAATATGTAGATATGCATGATTTGGTTCCAGACAAACAAATCATGTACCACAGCAGTGTACTTTATCATTATTATTTTTTTTTGATTCCAGAAGAGGATACTAGTATATAATGGTGATGTTGATATGGCCTGTAATTTTCTGGGAGATGAATGGTTTACAGATAATCTCAATCTTAAGGTATAAAAGTAAATGGTGGTTTTGTTTTAGTTTTAAATTATGTCCTCTGTGCTGAGAAAATTGAAGTTTAGTGGTGAAATTTTAATAAAAAATATTTGATGTGATTGAAAATTTGATTTCATTGCATACTATTAAATTCAAACCTTACTAATAAAAATGACTTTAACTTATGCTCAGTCAGACTTCATGCAGTTATGGTCAGTCAAACTTCTGTACATGTATGCAGTTATGATGAGTTTCAATAATCTGTGTCTAATAATTAGGTGAAAGTTGAAAGAAAAATATGGAAGACAATGGTGGATGATGGAACACTACAAGTAGCGGGCTTTGTGAAGCAGTTTGAGAATCTGACAGTGGTCACAGTCAGGGTAAGTCTCTCTGACCACTTCTGTTCCTTAATTCAGTAAAATTTAAAATTTTACTATTTCAAATATTTCTATGGTGTATATAGAGCTTCAGATTTTCTACTTAATAATTGGTTAAATTGAATTTGAATATGAGTTAATTATGACAGATGTTTATTTTAAATTGTGCATTTAGCTTAGAGAGTTTTTATTTACCCATAAAAGATCTTGCTTTAGCTTCATACTGAACATTTGATACAAAAATAATTACTTGTATCAGGGACCTGTATACATGTACATTGTACTCAGTTTATAGGTCCCTTCTTGTTTGCAAGACATATATATGTTTTATTTATTTTATTTCCTTTCAGGGAGCTGGGCACATGGTACCTACAGACAAACCATCACAAGCTTTATACATGTTTACAAATTTTATACAGAACAAACCTTACATGTCATAGTGCAGTTTTGTAAAGTTTATTATAATTTGTATATTATTCTTTTTTACAAAATTTTGTTAAAATAAACTATGAAATGTAAAAAAAAAAAATATTTGGAATGTTTATTTGTCAGCTTTAAATCTCAAAGGGAATATTTCACTCCAACTGGAACATCACCAATGGCCAGTGAACGTCTTGTTTTGTATATAAACTGTATGCAGCACAAATGCACTTATCAGCAGCAGATCCAGGAATTTCACAACAGTTGGCGCATAGAATGCAGGGGGTCTGGGGGCAGCAGTGAAGCCCCCAGAATGTCCAGGGGTCCCCATGAAAAGTCCCATGAAACTGAGGAATTATAACAAATATGAGGGTTTTTCCTCTTCATTTTGGGATAATAAAAACAAAATTAGAAAAAATCAAACGGGGGGGGGGGGGGGGGGAGGGTTTTTCCTCTTCATTTTGGGATAATAAAAACAAAATTAGAAAAAATCACACGGGGGGGGGGGGGGGGGGGGCATGCCCAGTGCGCTGATGCTGGTCATTGAAATTATGTAATTTATGGCTTTCGATAAGATAAACAGAAAAAAAACGAGCGTTTGATACGTTGAACCCGCGCTCTTGAAAAAAGCAATGCAGATAGTTATGCCCTGTTCACACGGAGAGTTTAATTCGCAGTAAATTACTGCGAAGTAAACTAATGCGAATCAAACTAATGCGAATCAAACTAATGCGAATTAAATTGCGTTCACACGAAGAAAACTAATGCTTATAAAAATTTTACTTCTGCAGCCCGGCGTCAGCACAGCTATTATGACGTCATTTGCAGATCGCGTCACCTTATGCAGAAGCACATCCATTTGACAAAATGTCTGTATTATAGGATTAAACGTTCTTTTTGAAAAAGAATGGGTGGACTTAACGCCCTATTTTGGATCTTTTTGCGACTCCTCTAAGAATCTGTAAATGAAGTGAATCCAAAATAAATTATGAGCAATGGAAAGAGCAACACATACTTGGTTATATTAGGTGGAACATTTGCGCAAAAACAATGCCCTGTTGTCGTGTATCAAAATTGAAGCAACGATACATGAGTGTCGTCTTCCGGAATTCGACATGCACCCGGAGTGGTTTTTATGTCATACAATCAATATTTATAGGAGGCGGGGCTATCGATCGGTGTCATTGTTGACATCTCTCTCTATCCCTCTCTCTTTCCAAAAATTCGAATACGTGTTTAGCATATTACAGCGATGTCAATATGAAATTATTTTTAAAAATGTGATGACACGCAAAATTAAAACAATACTTAGTTTGCTTAATTCTGAAAACGGCAACAAAACACGCTCAAAGACATGATTTAGATCGGGGTCAGATTGAAGAATACAATGTAACTGTTTTCACCAGTACACTCACAGGTGGACATCACGTGACGAATTGTAATATTTAATAGCCACTCTCTGTAACCACTTAAACTTCGTTGCCACGCATGGTCACCGATTTTGTTGAAACTTCACCCATGCTAAGTACTTGACACCGGAAACAAATATCTAACAAAATTTCGTTGCTATGTGTCTTGGTTGCTATGGCAACAGCCGGAAAAGTTTGAAAAATCGAGATTTCAGCCACTTTAAATCTTGACTGTGGCTTAATAAAAACCAGAAGTCTCTGTCGAGACTGAAGCTCTACTGGTTTGTACTTACAGCAAAGGAAGAGAAAAGTACTTAAGCAGTTGGAAATTGAAACTTTTCAACAGTAATAAATAGAATAATGATCCTTGATTAAGTCTCTTTAAGTTCTTAGTGCAGTCTACTTGCATGCCACATTTATCTTATAATCAGACTAAAATTGTATTTGGAGTAGCATTTTGAAAGAATTTCACAGAAATTTCTATTTTTAGTAACCAAGGCAACACCGTTCATCGAAATCAAAAACCGATACACAGAATTGTGTATCTTAGTGTAGTCTACTTGTGTGCCAAGTTATATTGAAATCAGACTAAAACTGTAGAAGGAGTAGTATTTTGAAAGAATTTCACAGAAATTTCTATTTTTAGTAACCATGGCAACAACGTTCATCGAAATCAAAAACCGATATACAGAATTATGTATCTTATTGTAGTCTACTTGTGTGCCAAGTTATATTGAAATCAGACTAAAACTGTAGAAGGAGTAGCATTTTGAAAGAATTTCACAGAAATTTCTATTTTTAGTAACCACGGCAACACCGTTCATCGAAATCAAAAACTGATATATAGAATTATGTATCTTATTGTAGTCTACTTGTGTGCCAAGTTATATTGAAATCAGACTAAAACTGTAGAAGGAGTAGCATTTTGAAAGAATTTCACAGAAATTTCTATTTTTAGTAACCACGGCAACACCGTTCATCGAAATCAAAAACCGATACACAGAATTGTGTATCTTAGTGTAGTCTACTTGTGTGCCAAGTTATATTGAAATCAGACCAAAACTGTACGAGGAGTAGCATTTTGAAAGAATTTCACAGAAATTTCTATTTTTAGTAACCACGGCAACACCGTTCATTGAAATCAAAAAACGATATACAGAATTATGTATCTTAGTGTAGTCTACTTATGTGCCAAGTTATACTGAAATCAGACCAAAACTGTAGGAGGAGTAGCATTTTGAAAGAATTTCACAGAAATTTCTATTTTTAGTAACCAAGGCAACACCGTTCATCGAAATCAAAAACCGATACACAGAATTGTGTATCTTAGTGTAGTCTACTTGTGTGCCAAGTTATATTGAAATTCAGACTAAAACTGTAGGAGGAGTAGCATTTTGAAAGAATTTCACAGAAATTTCTATTTTTAGTAACCATGGCAACACCGTTCATCGAAATCAAAAACTGATACACAGAATTATGTATCTTAGTGTAGTCTACTTGTGTGCCAAGTTATACTGAAATCAGACCAAAACTGTAGGAGGAGTAGCATTTTGAAAAATTGTTTACAGACAGACAGACAGACGGACAGACAGACAGACGGACGGACGACGGACGCATTACTATCGCATAAGCTCTTCTGGTCTCTGACCAGTAGAGCTAACTAGAAAAAGCAAACAAACCATTTTCACAAAATTAAGACACCTTGATGTCACTTATACTGTGAAGAAACTGTTTAGAATATATGTCTAAGTAAGTGGTAACCAAGGGTACATTTGGAATACATTTAAAATGCTGAAATATGCTGAAAAACACTCCGTATTCACTAATGGCAGGTGTTACATGCTCAAACTCAATCAACGACTTAAGAAAAACAATGAAAATGTTTGACCTTAAGTATATAAGTATAACAAATATTATTCTATAAATAACTTTTACGGTTGCCATGGTAACACAGTGTAACCATGCAAAACCAGTAACTAAGATTGGGTTAATGCTACTGTCTTGAGGAAAAACATGAAAATTCAAGACTGGCAAATATGCATCCTTAGGACCTTGTAACATCAAAACCATAAGAAAAATTGGGTATAATTGCTACTTTGCAGTGTTACCATGGAAAAAAGTACCAGTGCTTATTAGTGAATTATTTTTCGCTGCATTAAGAATTAAATTGCCATTTAATCAAGAAACAAATTAAAGGACCCAGCTTGAATAGTACTTATCTGCAGAACTGAAGTTGAATATCATATATTGATAAAATTCGATCAAGAAAAGAACACTGTTGCTATGGTTACCAAGAAGGGAAAATGTTCGATTTTGTGAACTTTATATCAATATTAAACCCTGTGTGCCAACTTCTTGCATCCACTTACAGATTGGATGATGGTCAAAATTAAAAGTCAGGTTAGCTGTTAATAAATATAAATCATAAAAGTTTTGGGAATCTACATTAAAGGGTACGTATCCATGGAAAGAAAATATTTTTCAGGTTTTTAAGCATATATTTTCTGCTTATTTCCATAGCAACGCCCTATTTAAAGAATCTAATCTGAATTTTTTCAAATGGGGAAACTAGGAGCACCCCAGCATCTTTAAAAATTGATCAGTAGTTATGAGGAAGTGTGCTTTTTTTAAAGATAGGATCAGATTTAAACATACAGAGTGTTACTTTGAAGGCTCTCCGTGGAATAAAAACCTTGGTAACCATTACCAACCAAAATGAAATATCATATATTGTTCATGGTATATGTTTCAAGGCTCTTTTTTGTATTATTTGATCACATTTCATCCTATAATTGCTTTTTATTTTTACCTGTATGACTTTATAAAATTCAATGAATATTTTTTTTTACTTTTGAATACTCTGTTACCATAGTAACGTATGTAATAGTTGATTTACCAAACATGTTTATCATGCATTTCAGACATCTAACCTTCAACTTTTGGAAACAGTCATTGCCAATTGTTTGCTTTGCCGCAAATGTTAACTATGGGGCTCTAAAAATGTTAAAAAATGCCATTTTTCGAACTTTAAGACATGTTGCCATGGTAACTATAAAACATAGCAACCAATTTTTGCCTGATTTCAGTTTAGGATATCAATGACTTTTATCATAGAGAGTCTGGAGAAATTCTGAGACTATGCGTGCCACAGCTCCTATATAAAATTTCAAATCATTACAGAGAATGGCTCTTAACAGGTCAATCGAAGACATTTCAATGGAAGCGAGAAGTTTGTTTTGAACATGTTTTTTGTTAAATTAAGTGTGAGCACACTTTTGTCGGCTCTTCTCCTTTTGATATAACATTATTTTGTTCAATATACAACTACAGTTTTCTTAAGAACAGCCGACAAACATGTGCTGACTATGTATTCAGACGATGAAAAACGCGTGACCCTGATTATCTATTGATATTCAAGAAATCTTCAGGCACCATGCTTTCGATATTTATTTAGTTTACCTCGAAAAAAGTGTTTTAAATTCCCATCCGTACCATGAATACACAGTTAAAATACCGGGGGTTTATATGATGCAAAAAAATAAGCATGTAATATGTGAGACCTTCATCAGCTGTTCATGTGCTTACTCTTGTATTGTTTACAATTAATTTATTCTGAATGGAGATACACTATAATCATA